CATTTTATCAGAGACAAATCATGTCACTATCCATTCACAGCAAAATCTTTTCAACTGATTTCAGCAAATATCAGTTCTTTTGCTTAATTTCAAGTATCAAAATTATAAAAAAATATGCAATTTAACTTTCAAGAAATAACTTTCAGCATATGGCAAGATATCTCAGCAATAGTGCATGTTAAAATAAGAAGAGTTTTCTGAGATACATCATTAACTACTTTGTACCTCTAAGCAAGATAGAAGATCTCAGAACACAACCAGGGATAATTCTTAAATGACCTATGTGGTGTTAGCCCCATTAATTTTAAAAATAGCCCACATTTAGACTATGCAGACTTCACCAGTTGCATGAGTAAGTGTGTTAATGTTCATTTTTCAGACAGAAATTGGAAGCTTCAATTGTTTCACTGTTGTTGCCAGTTCCTGGTTTAAATAGAATATCAAAATTTCATGGTAAATTCTGTAACTATATTTTGATAATTGAACACATACTTCTGCTTAATTTTTCATGAATTTCACATTTTTTGGCACCGCGTGCCATATGACAAGAATTTCAAGGGAACATTTATCCGTGGCTAGAAAAGCTTGCACTATTAGGAAGTCAACTGACGCAAACACCAACAAAACAATTGTCCTATCAGAAAGGCATCAGATCAGGAGCAGAAAATCTGACTAATAGTCTGTTTGCAGTGAAAATGTACTGACGAATTTCACTTTACTTCTTTGATAGGCATTTTAGAAGTTGTGTTGATGAAGAATAATGACAATTATTATGGATATACAACTTCTTTTATTCAATAAAGTAACTCGAATAAAGTGAAACAAAGATTGCGAATCCTCATTTTTTCACCTTGCCAATAGGACATTTAAATCTCAGAATGTTATTCAACTTAAGATAAGAGTTGTTTAACAAACGATCATGGTTTCAAATCGCTATTGTTGGTTTGTATTACAAGGGTGTATGCACATTACATGAAACACTGAGAACAAGTAGGGATGGCCTGAGTAACGCTCATCAAGTATCGCACATGTGCTTTTTGACTGTTCCAACTACTGCGCCTACCCCCTTGTAATACAAACGAATAATAGCGATTTGAATCTATGATTGTTTGTTAAACAGCTTTTATCCTAAGTTGAATAAAATTCTGAGATTTAAAAGTTCAATTGGCAAGGTAAAATTATGAGGATTCGCAATCTTAATTTCACTTTATTTGATTTACTTTTTTGTTTAAAGTGAAATTCATCGGTACGTTTTCACTGCAAACACACTATAGATGAGATTCTGTTCCAGAGGTTCTGACATAGGTCCTGGGCCACTCTTCGCAAAGTCATTGTAACACTATGATGGTCATAAGCTGATGTCATAATATATGACTTATGACAACCGCAGCATGAAGAACTAGGTCCTTGTCTGCCCTCTCACCTGAATGGTGTACTTGCAAACCCCCAAAGTGTTCCACAGCTTGACAGTCTTATCCCCGTGAACCAGAAACAATCTGTCTGTTGTCGGCCGAGAAAGCAACACTCATGACATCCTTCTCATGGCCAACAAAGTGACGTGTGGTCTTGCACCTGCAACAGAATTCAAGGCAAAGTTATATTATTTGACTGTAATAACCATAATATCCAAAGTTTTGAGATTTTAACATAAGCATCTGACTAAAAACAAACTTCAGATTACAGCAGTGGCTCCAGAGAAAGTGTCCTGGGCCTAGATTTTCGAAGCTCTCTTAGCGTTAAGATAGTCGTAACTTAATGTTAATGTATGGCATTTACGACTATCTTAGCACTAAGAGAGCTTCGAAAATCTAGGCCCAGGATAATAGGGTGACTTGAAGTAACATTTTGAAGTGCTTGAAGGCAAGATAATAGTCTTGTCATTGAATCAGAAATAGTTGTTATTAATTCTGTTGGTAGTAATTCAAGAAATCAATTAATTTGGAATGTTGTACCGTAGTAGTGAACATTCAGCTTGAAAGGATATGAATATTTTAGGTCTATTTTACACCAGATGAATCACCAAAGTAAGTGTAGTGAATGGATGTGATTTGCACTGACGTCATATCTAATTGGACTGGGTCGATGTTTCTGCTGGTGGACTGAAGTTTTCTTGTTGAAATTAGATTACTTGAAACATTTGTTTTGTTGTTTAAGATAGACTTCTGTTTTGATCCATATAATGTGAATGACAGTGAACAATTCTCATCATTTGGTTGTAGTCACTTTCCAAAGCCACAGGTGTCATTATCCAACCATACTACACAATTCTTTGTATCTAACCCTGGACCATAACTATTCATAACATAAGTTGACGAATGACGCATTTCCCGTTACTGGCAGTGATATGATCCCTATTAACTGTAGCCATTACTACTTTCAACATCTACATCACAGGTACAAGTGGCTAGATTGTATCAAAGCCAAGGAGCCCTACATCGCTGCTATATTTTCATTTTTACATCTAATAAGTGTTTGTTTAGTGCAACAGTTACTAAAGTACTAAAGTACTGTCAGAAATAGAAAAAAAAAACAGTTTTTAGGCTGTTACTCTGTATCCCTAAAATTTACACAATTGCCAATAGCATATGTCGAAATAACCCACATCGGCCTAACTGGGCGTTGAGTGGGATGCGTAATAGGATATCCAGGAAAGCATGTTTACTCGTAAAATCGGGCAAAACTTGGAAAAAATACAAACAACTGCTGAAAACAATAGATCAGACTATAGATGGAAAGTAGGTCGCTCAACCAGGTATGACAGACCGTCAACTCACTTGGCATGAAATGCACGTGCTGCCCACCGACAAGGTGTCATCTCAAATATCTTTTATGCTTTTTCATGTGTATTGAATATGTCGATACTGACTATCTAATCTTAGCTAATATCTCTATCCCCAAGCCCCACCCCAACTACCATCAGCAACACCCGTCTTGGTTTTGGCTTTTGAGACAACCCCTCTTACCTGTTTCTTTTTATAGTGATAGTGAGACTCATGGTATCTACATCCTTAATAGTTCAGTATTAAAGTTGTTATTTTTTATGTTTGCTATCGTTTATTATGAAGCTATGTCTAATTTCAAAATGGACATTCAAAAAGTGTCATTTGTTATACAATATCATCACACACTAATTTGCATAAAGCCATGGTCTGCTCCAAATAAGTCTCTTCGGACTTAGAAAAAACCCGCATTGCTCATTTCTGCACTAATATCTCCTCAGTAAAATCCTTTAACGTTTCCTATTTCCCTACCACTGAGACTGTAGTTAGGCCGAACTTAGTTCAACAGATATTTCACACTTTCACATATTAACTACCTAAATTGTAGATATAAATGTGGGAAAAAAATCAGTTTTTTTCTATTTCCGACAGTACTTTAGTGAACAGTTTTGGCTAGAATAAATATTTATTGATCGACTATCAGGAAGTAAATAATGGCCATCCATAATTCTGTCTCACAAAGGATTTAGAGTGACAACTCACGTCACAAGATCCCATAGCCTCAGGGATCCATCCCAGGATGCAGAAAGAGCGAACTGTCCATCCGAGGACAGCACAACATCAGACACAAAGTGGTTGTGGCCATGGAGCTGCTTGTATGGGATGCCGTAGTTGGTCTCATTACGTGTCAGCTTCCACAGGAGCAGGTGCTTGTCTGAAACCATAATACCCTTTCACTCCCTGGCCTTTCTATTCATCAAAAGTCCACAACAAAAGTGCTTCTCCAATTCTACAATGATTTCTACAGTCTGTTTGGGTTCAAATGAGAACAATGAATGATAAATAACTCGAAATAGCTACAAGTGCACAAAACATAAATAAGACACATGGTCCTGAAACCTCTGTACCTAACAGGTTCTGAAATATGACGTTTTATGATCTATCACGGAAAAAGTGGTTTAAAACACCATCATGTAATACTGTGCTATTTTCACGCTTCACACCGAGGGGGTGACAAACGGCTGGTTGCACAGCGCCGGCACCCACTTCAGGTGCAACTGAGCAGACAGGTGAGATGACCCCTACCAGCTGGTGCTGTTCCACCAGTCGATTGTCACCCCTTGTCTTACAAGCAACAATGACTTGGACAAAGCTGTGACAGCAAAGTTTTTACATAATGCGAAAACAGGAAGATCTCATATCCTTGGTTTAAAAAGGAATCTGAGTTGCAATTATCAAAGTATAAATAAGTTATGTCTTCTGTTGTTTTAAGAGTTAACATACATATTCACTTGTTAGTACATGATCGTCACGACTGTCTACGACCGCATCCTGGCTCTCGGCTTATCAATATCTACCATGTCTATGCAGAAACCTGTTGCCAACACATACTGATACATAGGATGATGATGAATTGGACACCTTCGTCCCCAGTTTTGATACATTTGTAGACATTCTTGCACATTAGATGTGATGGGATTTTAGCCACCCTGGCCATATTCCGTTCTAGCCCATCCCCTTTTCTATAAAAATACATTTCAGATACCGATATCTAAAGTCCTTTATAAAGTTGCAGCGAACCTTAATTTCTAACAACATAATTCAGTTCTTTATGTAAGGCAATCATGTAGAATCATGAAACAAAAAGAACGCAAAAGTTTTAGTTAACAAACGTCTATCTAAACAAGAACAGAATAGTCTATCATCATCAAATGACATAAAGTGTTGTTTATTCAAATAGTGCTTAGCAAAATCCAATATTAACACCATTGTCAAAACACACATATATGACAATGCTTTAGACTAAAACTCGTAAATATTATTTCAGTACTCGTATAGTCACGTTTCTCTCTTATTTACCTCGGGATGCCGACAAAATCGTGTCAGGGTACTGAGGATTTGTGGCAATCTGAGTGACCCAATTGCCATGGCCCTCAAGGGTACCCTTTAAAGTCATCTGTTCTTGCGCCGCCATGGCGTTTTAGTCGCAGCTTTTACTGATAATAATGGATTATCAAAGCCCCCTATGGAATCACGGCCATTGAGGTGTATGGCCGACCGGAAAAAGATCGATCGTACGGCGGAAGTTGCGCACCTAACGTCCACCAGAGGGTGCTGCGATTTGTATCTCCTGTTTCGAAGCCGGGGCGGCAGGTAAACTAATTATCATATTCTGTCTTTATTACAACATGAACAACTTTCTTCCTCTGCAGTTAGATACATAAGAGTTCCAATAACCCACTGGAAATAGTTTGGTCTCAAAAGGCAGCCCTGTTTTATATTTAATAGAAACATTTCTTATGTGCATGTTGTTATGACGTCATTCACGAAAAGGAAAATCAGCGGCCATTTTGTCTGGTCCTGATCGTACTATCGGCGTTCATTTTGTGACCTGGGAGTTTCTTCATATTTCAAATTTTTGTTTTATTTCAGACATTGTTTCCCAAACTGCGGTTTAAATCAAATCTGTCCAGATGATGGTGGAAGATAGGGCTTCGGCCAAAGAACTTGACCAATGGATAGAGCAACTGAACGAGTGCAAGCAACTGTCAGAAAACCAAGTGAAAACACTCTGTGAAAAGGTGTGTTGGTAGCGTAACTATGCAAAGTATTTGTCTATAGTATCATGTGTTTTCATAATATGATGTTGTGTAACATATGTAAATGGTGGTTATTGCACATTCCAAAAATCCATTTACGTGCTAACCTTGCTTTCAAGCGTGACAGCAGTTCAATGCATACAGCAACGGTGTTTCAGAGCGCACTAAACACATGTTGAAGACATTGTTTCAAGTGTGAAGATATTCTGTTGGTCTGGTGGTCGTCTTAGGTAGTAGAATACTATTCTTCAAGAAGTTGAAGCTGAATACTATTATTCTGAAAAATTGAGGCTGTTAAATATTTGCATGACTTCTGTCTTAAAGACTCTTATTCATAAGCAAGCTAACGTTTCACAAGCCTGTAACCATAGCAAGAATTGAACCAAGGTGACAACTGACATAGATATGCTCTGAAGAAAATGTTATCAAGATAATTTTAATTGGGTTTGTCACTGACATACCTGTTATAGTTCATACGAATGTTTGGAAAAAGAAATATAACAATATTTTGATTAGACCTTAAACACTTGTCTCTAGGACCACACTGACAACCTGGTATGATAATGGCATGTAATTCACCAATCTCATTCTCACATTAATAATGGTCTACCAAATTAGGAAATCTGAAAAGTAGTAACTCATATTCATCATTCCAATGAGATTAGTGTGTCAAACATTAACAAAAGACCACTCAAAATACCACATCAGCATCTTAAAACTCCTTGATATACAGGTTTTTGGTTTGGAAACATGGGTAAAATTAACATCAGCTATGCTTTGAAACATACAATAGCTATTTCAAGTATACTAATTAAACTACATGAGGCTGTTATTGGTAGTTATCTGAAGTCTTATATATATAATTCACTGGTGTTCCAGGTATTTAGTATGAAGCTGAACTGAGACACATTTTTGTCCATTCAAGTCCTTATACAAATAACTAAAGCCAACCATCAGACTCTGATGTCATTGTACCCAGGTGGCATGGGTATTTACTCTTACTGTTGGTCATTTCTCCAGATTTGATCATTTACTGGCTGTCATAAAGCTGGAATGTTGTATACCGCTAATGTCGAAATGCTTAGTACATCCCTGTTCACCAGTTCACAACAGCGAATAGGTACCTAATACAGAGATTCCACACACTCCAATTTCGGTGGAGTTACTCCTGATTTTCAAATACAAAATCTGCTCTCCAGCTTGTCTTGAAAAAACTGGTTGTTGAGAAAAATCCTGATGATTTTTTTTACAGCATACCATTTCATAAAATGCCATCAGTGATGTATTTGAGTCAACACCAGTAAAAGCATTCCGAAGCTTAGCGTGTGATCTTTGGGTCACGATAGTGTATATATTGCGTGTTATTGGCAGCAAAGTCTTTTCGAATGCATTTCATAGCCCGTATGTAAGTGAAGCAAAATGGCGAAGCCGACCACGTCATCGAAGAAAAGACAAAGCATGCTAATCTAAAAATGTTCTCGCTCACCCCCAACTCGCAGACTTCACTTCACTTTCATTCGGATGAGGTAACAAGGTTTCTTCTCCTCCTCTTCCCCCCCCTACTGTGTTCAAATAGTGTCTTATAATGCAAGCACAAAGCCCCCTGGACTTCATGGTCTTGACTACAGTGTGATAACGGACTGCATATGTGTATTGTTCCATTTCCTAACCACTGGTGAATACATCTGTATTTTGAAATGTCCTCTTAAAGTATTTATTGTAAACAATATTGGTATATCTTATGATTGTTATGCTGGCCATTAACAGGATTAAACACAGAACTGGATGTGCAGTGTCTACAGTATCTCACTGGTGTAGCAATTTTAATCAGCAGCATGGTATCTAGACTATAATGCCATCAAACATCCACAAGCTCATATTCATGGTGGATTTACAAGATGGGGTATTTGTGCCCTTCTGATAATAAAAATCAGCAGGCTTTCATCAGATTCAGGGGACACAAAACCAAAGTTTGTTTTGTCTATGAAAATCCTTTTTATTCAGTGCCTTGCAGAATAGTATAGAATCAACTATTTTGTTCATCAGTAACATGTGACCAAAAAAAACCCTGTTTTGATCAGTTATGTGTACATAGTCCATACTGTGACCTAGTTATTATCATTACTCATTCTTTATCATGTTCATGACACAAAGTATATAAATAGCATTGTATTCAATTGTGAACAACTGTAGATCAGTTGGGGCAGTACATTAGGATTCTGTTTACAGAGAACTTGATTGAAATGTAATTCTGTCTTTTTACCTTTAGAAATTGTTAGGTATTTTACTGCTTATCATGTACCACCCTCAGTTTATGATGATCCTTTGTGTGTTGAGATCAATATGGGGATTTTTCCCGAGTTTCTTGACGGATCAAACTATTGATGATCAATTTTGGACCAGGCATCAATAGAGTAAACATCTTCACAATGTTCATTCTTATAATCTCCCTTGTAAATACCAGTAAGCTTGCAGTATTGTTTAATATTTTATTATTCTTCAACACAAACATGTCTACTGGTAGCATTGCAATAGCAACGTATGCATAGGCCTTATCAGTTATCACTAATGAAATTAATTAATTTTACATTAACACTTAACTGCTCAGTCCTAGAATGAGTAATAAGCCTTTATATAAATACATGTATTCCTAACAAATTCTGTGCATCATATTTATTGCATGCACTGATCTTTTTGTCACCGGAACCACAATATAAGTGATGCACTGATTATGTTTGGGTTAATGTTAATTGGTATGATATTATCACTGCTCTAAGTATCGAAGTGTAAGCAGCAAGCCATCACACAGGGAGTAATCCACCAGCAGACTGCCCAATATAATATATGCCATTTTTTGTGATGCTGAATTCGTACAGACTTAGGCATTAGTGAAAAGGAATTGGGGTCTAGACTGACATTTGGTCCCAGAAATGAAATAAGTTATTGCATCTAAAATATATATCTACAAAAGAGTTTCTATAGGAGCCCAGAACAAGTGTTTATTATGAAAAACTCAGGCAATGTAAGCTTAACCACTATTCTGCACTTGAGTTGGCCTCCAGTTTGATTTATTCTCAAGAGTCTGGGAGACAGACCAGGTATGTTCAATAAGTTATTGGCAAAATATTTTTTAGAATCAAGGACAAGTGATCTTTCAGAATTAACTATTAAAGCATGACTTAAGACTGCCACGTTCATGGTATTTTGACCTTAATGTATAACTTGTTACAACCTGTTCAGTTGAAGCAATTATCAGTGGTGTTTGCAGCCAGATGTGTTGGGTTTTTTTGCATTCACTTCACTTACTAATTATATATATTGTTTTAGAAAACACGTGGGATGTTGCTGACACAAACCTTATTAGAATTACAAAAAAAAAATAGAATTAGTTTTCCTGACCTCAAGGATGTCACATGCAATATGATGCATGCATTCATTTAGTGGGCAATGAATTTTCAAGGGAATTGTGGAATTAAGTATGTAGATAGATTTTATGTTTATCAATTTTATGATTACTTGTGCCAATATCTGTCCAGTTGGTTCTGTGTCATTGCTATTGTCCGTTTGTGCTATTACAGCCTTATCCTCTTGTCCTTTACAAATCAATACTTAATTATCTATCAGTACTATTTATGCCCGGATTTCCTCCTGGTTTCCAATTTTCCATTCGGTTATCGATCTGTGCCAATTTGCTTTTGTTTTCACGGGTAAGTATACAGCTAATTGCTTCTTAGCATTCATTTATCTGATGAAGGATTAAGAATATACTCTGGAAAGTCGTGATCCTCATGTTACCGTTGACATCCATACATTTTCTACATTTACCTGGTCACTGTATGGGAAACAAATTGGTCAATTGTCATGACCTCAACTTTTTGGATCCGGACTCACACTTCGAACTGTCTTCATTTTTTTATTATTCTATATCTTGGTCTCTATTTATTTGAAAATAAATTTTATTCCCACAATGATAATGTATTTATAAATGTTACACACTATTTTCATGTTTTTATAATGACATTTTTTATTTCCCATGCTTCTATATTACTGGAATATTACTAAAAGTGACATAAATCATATTCACTCGCTCTTTATCGTTAAATGTTTCATCTGTTTTTACTTTGATCTTTTATTGACAAATCTTGTTTTTTTGTTTCAGGCAAAAGAAATTTTGTCTAAAGAGTCGAATGTCCAAGAAGTAAAATGTCCTGTCACAGTTTGTGGAGATGTGCACGGGCAGTTTCATGACCTGATGGAGTTGTTTAGGATAGGTGGCAAGTCCCCAGACACAAATTACCTCTTCATGGGGGATTACGTGGACAGGGGGTACTACTCTGTAGAAACAGTCACACTTCTAGTTGCATTAAAGGTACGGTTTTTCACTCCTATCATGTGCATTTTAAGATGTACTGCTAAGTTATCCAAGTTTTGAACATATGTTACGTGTTGTATTAGAGATATATAGATATTATCTTATATTTTTTACATTCTTTTTGTATGTTTGAAAAAGAGTGTAATTTCTGTCTGAACAGTAATCCTAACACAAAACCCTATTCACATTATGGCTCTCAGAAAAGATCATAATCTGAATTATCGTTGATGGGAAGAACAATAATCAAACTGCAAGTAGTCATCCACAATATCATTCATAAACTATTCTGATGAAGTAAAGTTTTGATGTAGCTAACAGTGCCTGAACAGACTTGAAAGAAAGGTACTGTTAAATATTAGATGTCCTCAGTAATCCAGGGATTTACATGGATTCCAGTATTTGAGGGTCCTTGGGACTCATACTCTTAATTTTCAAGGGTCCTTGACAACAAAATGGGGGTCCCAGACTCTTAAATATTATCATTAATACTGTTATTGTATTGTGTATCATGATCATCACATTGTTACAGTAATTAAATTGCACATAGTACTATAACCCAACTAGCAATCTCAGTGATAACTTATTATCACTTGATTGGAATGTTTACAAAAAAAAGTATTTAGACTTTTTCTGAGTCCCTGTGGACGCTCTATTAAATTTTGTTACGTCCATTGTCAATTTTTATGTGTATAGGACAGGAATTCGCATCCTGTAAATCCCTGGTAATCCATGCATAAATGTGTCAATATTCACCAGTGATGTAATATGTTGTTTTCTTTTGGTTCTGTTTGCATATTTGCTTGAATTTACCTCTCTGGTCTATATAAAGAACTATATTAAAACAATCCGATTTTAAGATTTTGATCATCTATCTGATCTAATATGGATAACCAAGCCTAATTCATGTGATATGCAAAGACAAGCACAATTGAAAGGGACTTTTGTCTTGGTAGAAATGATGGTTGTTTTCATTGGCTACATATTTTCATCATGATGAAATTATGGGAATGCTTTGAAAACTGACAAGCCAAATGTTTTTACTGGAGACAGATGTCCTTATCTTTATCTAGGCAAACTCATTTATAAGTCGTGTAAAATGGCCTGTCTATGACCTTAATGATCATTTTGATTTTTTGTACTGTACATGCTGATACGTCAGCATTAGAGAGTACCTATCAATAGTTTTTAATTCAGTGTGACTGCCAACAAATCTACAACAAAGATTCATCTCTTTACAGGTTAGGTTCAAAGACAGAATAACAATTCTACGAGGAAACCATGAAAGTAGACAAATCACACAGGTTTATGGCTTTTATGATGAGTGTTTGCGCGCAAGTATGGCAATGCCAATGTATGGAAGTATTTCACAGACCTCTTTGACTATCTCCCTCTCACTGCACTTGTCGATAGCCAGGTAAGTAACGTTATTCAACATGCACATTTACAGCTTACACAATTAAATTGCACCAGTTTTGTACCATTAATACCTCGGATATATAGTAACTCTGATTTACTTGTGTGTGTGATTAACTTGCTGGAGTATTGGTTCAGAAAAAAACCACTGAATAGCTTTCCAATTTATTGAAAACAAAATTAATGGAGGGAAAGAATATGGCCAAGTAATTTGTAATCTTAATTAAGAACATTTTGATAAATGCAATGTTTCTAAACTGTTCTGTTTATATAATTTGGTATGTAGTTTTTGAGTGTATATTCTGATAACCATCCATTTTATTTTGCAGATCTTCTGTTTACATGGTGGCCTCTCTCCATCAATAGACACACTAGATCACATCAGGGCATTAGACAGAATACAGGAAGTTCCTCATGAGGTATGTTGCAACCATTCTGTGTTACATTAGCAGCCATGGTACAGATGTACCCATTTACAGTTTTTCTTGAGCACTTGATGATTACAAACAAGACATTACACGCAATTGAACAAAACGTACTGAAACTTATGTCCTGCAATTATGAAAGTGCACTTGAAATGTTAATGTGGATGATCAGTAAATGAACAATGTTATCCTAGCCACAATCTTAGTGGTAATTGATATTGTATTGTATATTTCAGGGCCCAATGTGTGATCTGTTGTGGTCTGACCCTGATGACCGTGGTGGCTGGGGGATCTCTCCTCGTGGAGCTGGCTACACGTTTGGTCAGGACATATCCGAGACATTTAATCACAGCAATGGTCTCACGCTTGTATCAAGAGCTCATCAGCTTGTTATGGAGGTACTAAATTTATGTTTTAACTTTCAAGGTTTTATGCTCGCAGCTGTTAACTGAATTCGGGGCGGTGGGGTAGCCTAGTGGTTAAAGCGTTTGCTCGTCACGCTGAAGACCCGGGTTCAAATCCCCACATGGGTACAATGTGTGAAGCCCATTTCTGGTGTCCCCCGCCGTGATGTTGCTGGAATAGTGCTAAAAGCGGTGTAAAACCAAACTCAGTCAGTTAGCTGAATTCATACAATTGCACATTACCTGTTGTATCAGTTACATTTTGGGAATCCGAATCCTGTTGGATACAGGAGTGTTTTCACATGTCTGCAAATGTGGTCTTTTATAGAGTTGTCATGTATTAAATGTTAAAGTGGTACTTCACAACGATATGTCACTAGTCCTGAATTTTGTTCACCTGACAAGTGCAACCCTAAAGTCACTGCTCTTACAGTACCTGGGTTGAACTAGGAAACTACGATTCCTTAATTTGATTGTCATTCTCTATGAATGGAATTTCATAGAGATTATGTTCCTCATATAATATGCATACCTGACTTACGCTAGCTTGTTGACAGGTAACCAATGCTAAGTTCATTTAAATTATAACTATGACTTTTTTGTCCAACAGGGTTACAATTGGTGTCATGACAGAAATGTAGTAACCATCTTCAGTGCACCCAACTACTGTTACCGATGTGGCAATCAAGCTGCAATTATGGAACTGGACGATTCACTCAAATATTCTTTGTAAGTCTGGTATTTCGTTTTCCCAGGGTTTTAATCTGATAGCAAGTTTTAACTAACTGCTTGGAAAATGTTAATTACCATTTAATAGTATCTAATCTTTATGCACAATATGAAATGGGTTTACAAATATATTGTAAAATATGAATGTAAAGAAAATTACTGGGATGTATTGGTTAAGTCTTTTTGAAATTCCAACCAGCTATTGACTTCTTTGAAGTACTTTTGACTTGTTTTCATTTTTCCAGCTTGCAGTTTGACCCAGCTCCTAGACGAGGTGAACCCCATGTTACCCGCCGGACACCTGACTACTTCCTGTAATGTGTGATGGAAGTGAGACTATAGAGATGGAGTTGAGGAATATTAAATTCTTCAAATACATAGACTTTGACACGAAGGCAGTACAAATTGTGCTTACTTCTTGATACTAATTAACGCAGGAAACTTGTGTTTGTCATTGGTTTCTTCCTTGAAAATCGAACAAATACATCCTCTCATGAATATATAGAGCAATATTGCACCGCTGGCCACATAGCAGAACCTTGTGTGGCCTATGTAGTGCTTTCTCTATCAGATACTTTAAGATATTGTCATCTTTTCTTAATTATTGATTCTAATGTGGGATCTCTTGTAATTAGATGTCAAAAATAGGGAGTATTATAATTATGCCACCAGATTATCTGCCAAGAATTTACAGATTAAATGTGATGTAAAGATAGAACAGTGCATGAAGTTAAACAATTATTTTCTTTTAAGGAAGGGACAAGATACAGATTCATCTCACAATTGTGTAATTATTTCTTGTCAGTTTTTGTTATATTTTTAAAAATGTTTGTTACACAAACACTTTGTTGCTCCGCCAAATTTTTATTCGTCTTGAGTCCATTTACCATCTTTGTTGTGTAGTTAGGTGTGACAATCAGTTGTGACTTGCTTATATCGCTAACAAAATAATTGGTTAACAAGGAGGATAATTACATGTTCATTTCCCTTTTATCATAAGTATTCACCGGCTGTCCTCTGAAACATCCACACTGATTGTGTAATTCATTTGTGTCAAGAACGATAGACACACTGTTGTAAATCTGTGGACAGCAAAGATGACCTGTTCTTTCTGTGGATTTGTGGAAGTATTTATGGGTGGTATACATGTATATAGAAATCTGTAAATGGATTACAATGTAATGGTGTATTTAGCACAAGCAGCAGCAGCCAACTTGTCCTCCCATGTAGCAGTGCTCCCAGATCATCCCAGTTCATTTGATTTTGTCTAGCTGTTCAGAATTGTTTGGTTGCCAACAACTCATGCTATATCTATGTATGTAAAATAAATAATTTTCAAAGACACTTTAATGTTTCATCTTTGAAACTCATTTCCAGCGAAATAATTTAATATTAGATGGATTGTGAGAAGAGATCCAAGGTTAAATGTTTATTTGCAGTGTTGTCAGGCTGTGTTCCATCCAACAAGTACTTGTAAGGCATCAGCATCTACAAATCAAGCAGCTATGCACTCTGAGATTTGTGTGTAATGTCTGATCAAGACAGTCAATTGGAACCTAATTGTGACTAAAAATCAGGGTCCCGATCAACAAAGCAGTCGTAGCTCTATTTACCATAGGCTTACAAATGTTGTTGCCCAACAAATGTTTTGTGGATCAGTTCATAGATGTTTTTACAACTGTTCCTCGTCAAGATGTATGAATATTTAAAGTTTCCTCTCAAAAATTCAATCCTATCTTATATGCCATCAAATTCAGACACAAAATCATCTATATATACATTTGACTTTATTCACAAAATCAACATACAAAAATAGCTCAGACAAAAAAAAGTGCAGTATAGCACACCCATGCAGGTTAACCATCTTTTTTCTGCCTGGTACTTCCATTGGTTGGAAAAAAATACAGTATTATATTGGAGATTATCCTTCAAATTAAGTGACACATAGTTATTCTAAGGGACAAAATGAAACCGCCAAATTGTCATCTTGACTGGAATTTCACAAAATGAATCATCTGGCGTTGGTTTTTATTCTGCCCCAGGTATACAAAAGAATCACAGCATGAAGGCTTCCAACCATTGTGAAGTTCCTTTCCTGACACACAGGAAACCAAAGTACTGCACACTTTTCAGAACTAGCTGTCATGATCAAGGGTTTTGTACTACCCTCTTCAGTCTATCAAAGATTCCTGATCAGGAATATCGACAATATCCCTAAAATTGTGATGGAAATATTTACAGACGATTGTCAAAGCCCCACATAGCTGGTCCAGTTATGTGAGTTAAAAACAAAGGATCACATTAAGTTCTTATCAATTATGCATAATGAAGGCAAAACAGTCAAGACGATAGCATTATTTATGAGGTGATACACAGTGGAGGGGAAGTCATAATTCACTAGTTATGTTAATTACTTGAAACAATTTTGTGGGAATAGACATATTAGTTGGTGGGTGACCGTTTCTTCATTAAATGGTTGGATCTGATAAATTTGCAGATCAATAGTTTTGTAATAGCATTTTATGCCCCTATGAAAAGTTAAGCAGCATTAGAAGAGGTTATATCAAACCAGCATATTCTGAATAAATTTCTTGACTATATATCTGGGACATAAGTAACAAAGATCAAACAGACCGTCTCATTGCTTGGTTCGTGGCACGAGCCTGGTGGTTGAAGCTGGTAAAACCCAAAGCATAACTTCACACAGAACCCCCACCAACCTTTACAATGTGTGAAGCCTTTATCCATTGCTTAATATATACCTATATACATGTATTCATGTCTGAAAATTTATGATTGACCAAAAGTAGTGCATCATTGAACACAAAAAAATATATCCTATGTGACTTCTTGCAGCAAATGAATATTAAGGATCAGTGGTAATTTTTCTGTAAAAGTATCAATCTATATCAAAACTAAACTACTGGAATTTGTTATCGAAAGGCACAACTAGAAAATGTTTGCATTATTTTAAATGTGGTTGTTGGGAAAACCCTTTCAAGTTGCACTGTTGCCGGATATGATTTGTTTTTTGGTGCTGATGCCGCACTCCAGCTAAATGGCAGCGGTCTGTAAAATAACCAAGTCTGGGCCAGACAACTATCTAGCCAATTGAGATAGGATGACGTGTGAACCAAGTCACCGAGTCTGACCACACCCGATCCTGTTAATCGCCTCTTACGACAAGCATGGGTTGCTGAAGTTCTAACTTAGATCTTCATGGATTGCGTGGATGTAAAAGAAATTTATACTTGAATTTCAGGTAACTGCATCTATCTATTTTAAACTAATTTTATCACACTTGTGTAAGTAGTTCAGAGTGAGTGAGTGAGTTTAGTTTTATGCAGCATTCAGCAATATTCCAGCTATATGCCGTCGGTCTGTAAATAATAGTCTGGACCAGACAATCCAGTGATCAACAGCATGAGCATCGATCTGCGCAATTGGGAACCGATGATGTGTCAACCAAGCCAGCGAGTCTGACCACCTGATCACGCATGGGTTACTGAAGGCCAATTCTAACCCGGACCTTCATGGGGCAGTAGTTCAGAAGTAATCTTGACCACCTGATATACATTAAGGCCATGGGTGTTTTTAAAATGCTGCAAAACAATTATTCATCAGCACTTCATGGACATGAAGCATATCTAGAGTACAAATTTACAACAATGTTCAGAAAACTCTGCTTACAATATATACAGCTAAATACAGATAAATGGGAGTACCAGTACATCAAGCCAGTGAAACACCTGTAAGCAAAAGAAACATAGGGAAACCTGTTTCATCATGTTGCTATGATATACTATGGGTTACAGACACATCTAGATTTCACCAGGATTTAGCAAGCCCCATTAAAGTATTTAATATGCAATCAACAGAGGGACAAATCAATACAGTATGGAATGTTAATGCATTTCACAATCAGTTGTCTTATCATAACCATAAAATTGGACCTTGCCCAATGTGGAAGGATCAGGTATGATAGACCTGTTTAGACCACTGGAAATATCAAAAGTTTTAAATTCTGTTTTCAAAGAAATTTAACATGCAGACAAAAAGTTTAGTGTTTCATCACTTGCATGCTGGCGTGATATTTAAAAAGGCAGTCACCTATAAAGGGAAAAAACTTTCCTAACTTCAATAAAATGGCAAACTTAGAGCTGTTCCATGATTGAGAATGAACTTTTAACCACGCTGCCTTTACCCATAACAAGAAAATCTGTGTGATTCAAATACTTGAAAATGCTTGCAATGCATTCCCAAACCCTCATATAAGCTTTTATAAGATCTATTGGCTTTAACCTATGCAAGTGATGTAAAGAGGTTCATTCTCATTCAAACGTAAACGTCGTAAACAATTTGCTGAGGTAGAACTCATGTTGGATTCAGTGGAATAGAAAGGTCTTCATACCTTCACCCACCGAAGATAGGTCTCACAAAGCTGAACCATTGGTTATGGACATCTTGTCAATCAAAGTGTTTCTGTGAGTCTGACAGATTCACAGTAAAAACAAGTTACAGGGTATAATGTGACAATACGCCTACCTCGCATATCGATACCTGGTACATATCATACAGACACTACCCAGAGACGTTATCACGGAAGGTTATTGCAGCACACAGTACGTGTAACGCTATAAAAATAGATTCAAAACATGAATACATCATTGGGTAGGCGTATTGTGAGTTAGAACGTCCGGTGTAAAGTGGTGATGCACCAGTAGACTGAGACGTCCCCAGTTTCAGTCATGATGTTTCATGATGAATCGAAGCTGAGAAATCCTACGGGACATATGCAGGCGGTTTCTGAAACACAAACACAAGAATGAAATATGTTGGAGGGAGTGACTTAGGTTGTATGCTGTTTTCAATATGGATTCTTATATTGGCAAACACCACACCAAAGTGTGCTCAAAGTGCCAACAGAGTTCATAGATATAACATGTTTGCAATCCACTGATTATTATTATCCCAGATAACCCAAGGCACTAGAAGATTAATAGTCACATGACTTATCCCACCGGGTACCCATTTTCTGCTGGGTGAACAGATGCAATTTTGAACAAACTCGCTTGCCTAAGGTGACAATCTACAGTAGTCTACTGAATAGTCTACTGATCTACACAATCACAATATAGTATGACCAGAAATTATTGAGAATTTTAGGAATATGTTTAATTGGATTTCTAGTATAAACAACCTTGACCAGCTATCAAGTGCTTGGTTTTATTCGAGAGAGACAACTCCGTTAATCCTTTTTCATTAGTTTGTGAAGAGTTATCCCCCTTTGTTTACTTGCTAGCAGACGAGATTTTCAGTGATCCTCAGTATGGATGATTTAGAGAAGACTGACTGACTGAGTTTAGTTTTACGACGCTTTTAGCAATATTCCAGCAATATCACGGCGGGGGACACCAGAAATGGGCTTAACACATTGTGCCCATGTGGGGAATCGAACCCGGGTCTTCGGCGTGATGAGCCAACGCTTTAACCACTAGGCTACCCCACCGCCCCTGATTTAGAGAAGAGGAAGTTGATTTGAGAGTATTATAACAAGGACATCAGATCAGCTAAAGTGATTTCAAGTAGAACAGGCATCCCTTTGTCCACTGTTTATCGTGTTTTGAAAAATATTGCAAATGGATATGGCATTGAGCACCAGGGAGGCGCAGGTAGGCCCAGACTATTGACTGTCGGTGACAGGAGGCGGCTTGGTATTCTAGTTTCTAAAAACAAACGATGGAGTTTAGAAAACTTGAGGCTGGATATGATTGATAGAGGAACTGTGGCTGTCTGTAAGGAGACAATTAGAACTGAGCTGCATGCAATGGGTTGGCAGAAAAGTCGAGGTATTCCATCACCGATCATGAAACCTGTACAAAAGGAGCAAAGGTTGAACTGGTGCTTACAGCATAGAAATTTTAACTGGGACAATGTGATTTTCTCAGATGAAAGTTCTGTGTGGCTGTTTCCTAATACACTGAAATTCTGGACCAAACAAACTGAAAAACCTTTGTATCAGCGCCCAAAGTACAGTCCGAAATTTAACGTGTGGGTGGCATATCTGTGTTAGGGGCAACGCCCCTCTGTGTATTTGAAGGGAATATGAACAGTGAGGGGTACACATATATTCTCGAGGGACATTTTCTTCCATCTGCTCACGTGTTCTATGGAAATTTTTGGATTTTCCCCAAAACATCGTTCAAAGCATTCACAGGCCTGGTTTCGGACCCAAAATATGACATTATTAGATTGGCCAAGCTATAGCCCTGATCTAAATCCAATAGAAAATGTTTGGGAACTTATGAAGGAAAGTGTCAATAAGAAAAATCTGACAAATATTGCTGAAATGAAAGACTGACTGACTGACTGAGTTTAGTTTTATGCTGCTTTTAGCAATATTCCAGCAATATCACGGCGGGGGACACAAGAAATGGGCTTAACACATTGTGCCCATGTGGGGAATCGAACCCGGATCTTCGGCATGACGAGCCAACGCTTTAACCACTAGGCTACCCCACAGCCCCACTGAAATGAAAGAAGAGTTGGTCCGATATTGGGACAGCATAGACCACGACTTTCTAACTTCTTTGATCAGTAGTATGCCCCACCGCATTGAAGCCTGCATTGCTGCCCATGGTGACTTGACAAAATACTAACTGTTCACCTGTCTTTGAATCTGGAGTTATGTTCTGCTAATATTCACATTTAATACGTGAGTAATGAGTGAAAAAAACATAAAAAATACAATCTTTAAATTCTCAATAATGTCTGGTTGTACTGTACAATAACATCCATTAACACTGACCGACCAAACTGTTTTAAGTTGATAATATTTCAGCTATATGTCAGGAACATAATACAATAGTCTGCATAGCAGCCCACTTCATTTTGTCTCTTATGACAAGCAGGGTTCATGATGACCCAATTCTAATATAGATCTTCATGGGGAGTTTAGAACAGTATTCAGTTATTGGTTAATCACATGACTGTAAGCTTACAGTAGGAGGAGAAAAGCCTGTGACACGGGTTGAAGACGCATCTAATGCTCATTGGCACAGGTGTGGTAATAGCTAACCAATTACTAGCCAAATCGAGAATTTAAGCAGATAATTTGCTAAAGTGGACCATGTATCACTGGAACAGTATTAGCATTGTAGCACTAATTAGCTTCCACATCCAACATGCTTTCTCTTTGAAAAATCCCCAATGACATAACAACCAGTTTTAATTAAAATAAACATCCACTCCAAAAATTTGAAATGTGGAATCCTCAATGTTATAATAAAAGGTACTTCTGGAATATGTTAAGAAAATGATGACTTACTTGCTCCGGCTGGTATGGGGGCGGGGCAGTGGCTGCTTGGTGCTGAACAGCTGGGTAGGGAGGAGGGGCCACAGATACAGACACAGTCCCATACGCTGGAGGGTGGTGGTCAGGGACCATAACGTAGGAGGTTTGATATCGGCGTCGACGGTAACAGCAGATCGAGCAGCAGGCGAACAGAAGGAAGATGATCACCCAGATAAACCAGAACCCTGGATGATGTTGAAAGAGAAAATGTCAGGTTTGTTTATAATCTTATGGCATAAAAACATATGTCTCATACCCCACAGACGTTGAAGTCAAAGGTAAATATCTGAAATTATATCTGAGGTATAATCAAATGACACAGAAACATTGTTGTTACTGTTATTAAAGTTTCAATTATTCTGCTCTGTTCAAGCATCTAATATTAATATTCCGATTCATTTTCGTAGAATGAATCTGCCAAAAGGAATGAACACACTGAACAGATTGTTTATTTTGGTCCACAAAGCAATTGAAAACATGTATCTCTGCATACAATATATACTGAAGATATCAACAAGTTTCTTTTGTTAAATAATACACAATTACTTCTTCAAAAGGTAAAGTGAAATGATAAACAAATACTACGGTATATCGTTACAGCTCTATGACTTTTATGAACAAATTTAAAGTCTGGTATTAAGACACAAAATTGAGGAAGTGCTTACATGTAAAGTTGTTCCAAGTTGTATTTGAAATGTTATGTAATTATGGCAGCATAATATATTAATTACTGACAATTAAGACATGATTTCTTACTGTTAATGAAAGAGATTACAAAGGCACAATGATGTAATGGTGTCGGATGGAACAGAGGTACAAAACACCTGGTAACCTGCGTATGCCACACACAATTAAATACATACACCAAAAACTGTAGACTGAATGGTAGCAGCAGGATGCCCTATCAAAGGCACAGCAGTATGCGCTGTAAGCTGTGAACAAGAAAACAAAAATACACGAATCAAGAAACTCAAAAACTTCATTACGAACTTGGAAGTTTTCATACTTCATCTTACAAATCTACAAAACTATTTCAAAAGAAAGATAGCACATGTTATACTCCTGGTATTTTTAAAATATCTTCAGTTCAAATATTGAAATCACTTTCAGTACACTGTTAATTTGTATAAACCTTAAAATAGACTCAAATTTAGTTATGGCATGTTATCAGAATGGCGAGTTTGTATTTTCAGTTGTTTAAAATCATGTTTCTGTAAAAGTATAATGAGAAACATCACACAAACCTGTACAGAAAGTAGCTCCACACTGTGCATAACACTGGAAGCAAAAACAAACATTTGTAATATCACTGTTAACATGATTAGATTACTAGTCATAAAACTTAGGAGACAAGCATACGATGTTTTTAATGGAGTGGTAAATGTGTCTCCACTGTACAGCTCTGATTTAGCTCTGTAATAAGGCCAAAACCATGTGTTAGTGAGTGAGTGGGTGAGTTTAGTTATACGCTGCTTTAAGCAATATTCCAGCAATATCACCGCAAGGAACACCAAAAAATGGGCTTCATGCATTGCATTCATGTGGGGAATCGAACCCAGGTCTTGGGCGTGATGAACACTTTAACCACTAGCCCCAACAATGTGTTGCCAATAAAGAGACCAATCTACCATATTTCAGATGGGATGATACAGAAAACACTCAAATATTCCCTTATGAATAGCAAAAAAACGAACTTGACATTTTTCAACATCAATCATGGCAATGGGACAATGATCAATTCTGCCTTCAGCTATGTGATTACCAGTTAATGATCCAAGCAAATTAAGACTGAGAAATATCTTTGTGATTCCTGTTTTAGGCATATTGAACATGCCTGCTTGTGTTAAGTGTGTGTTTGATAAACTTCATAGAATCTAGGGCCAAGACACTGAAGGAAAACATTCTTTGTTGCAAAATATATCTTTGCTTACATTCAGTTTCCTGGCTGCAGCTCAGCCCCAAGATATTTCTACCTGATCTTTTCTGCTTACATTTCACAAGGTCACCTTTTTCTAATCATTTGATTATCACTTCGTCCTTGTTGTTACAATGTTCATGGTAATAAACAGATGTGTCATGATTAATGTTAATAAAATTGGCATTGTCTAGAACTTATACGGAAGAAAACATTTTTACAAATTATTGCGACAGTTGCAACATTGGACTGATGAAAGGTATGTTTTGACTACTGGACCCATAGCAGAGACCCGCGATGCAGGGTCATGCATCACGGCTCTCGGCTAGACCAGAGACCATATGATATTATATGGGCCTTATGGTCTCTGCTAGACCGATAGACTAGTACGTTTATGTATATGTTAAAACATGTTGTTACATATATGACAACTGATTTGATTTACTTCTCTGAAGATGTCAGACGAACTGATGTATAACGTTGTTTCGCCGACCTGACACTATCAGTCTATTTATGAAGACCTTAGAGTTAGACCTTGTTTTGTAGCTGAAAATATTTCATGACATTACCTAACACTTCATTTTAGTTTCAGTCCTGACGGTAATAACATGGTATTTCGTCATTGTCACTCACCCAGGCCGTTTCAAAAAGACTGACAGACAGCAAAGCTGAAAGAAGCCCCTTCGAAACACTCATATTTTCTTCAACAATGTGGCAACACGGATTTTTTTCTGAACATCAACTGTTTCCTTATCTCGTTATTACAAAACGTCACGTGATAAACCAAGGGAGGCAATTTGGAGCTTGTAACTCCTTACAGGGTTTTTTGGGCAATGAAAATGTCAAAGAAGATTCGGTTTGAGACACGCGTTGTGATGGAGCTTGCACAAAACTTATCTGGTTGCAGCGTTGGTACGCGCCGCAAACCTGGCGCCGCAAACCCATTATATTTTCTCTTTTTGTCAGACAGGAGCCCAGTCAATACATCGGTCCCAACGTATTTTATGAGATGGTATATAAGGACGTATATTATCTGATGAAACGTAAGAAAGACTGACACTTGTGTATTTGAGTATCTAAGATCTAAGATATCGTATAAGCCATGTATTGGAAAGTAGATGAGTGGTGTTTAGCCTTTATATTATATTTATCTTCATTCTAATAAGGAAATTTGTTTGACATAAATGGTATGCAAACAAACTAAGAGGAAATAAGAACTTTATTTTTTAGTGCGGTGTTTTAACATTAAAGTATGAAACGAATAATATTCAACGAAAAGATCAATGTCCATATGTATGATACCTTCGTATGTACTATATATGTTTGTTTGGTTTTAGGGTTTATTTCAGTTATAACAGAGACCATATATCGGTATATGATCTCATGTTATAAGTATCTTTCAACAACCGCGACCACTGCTTTCACCTCTGTTAATATTCCTCCGACAAGATAAGACACTTATGTGGCAACAGTTCACTCAGTATTTTTCACTGTTACGCTTGCAGTGTTCTGGTGACTGTTTCAGCGTGGCATTCTCGTCACTTGAAACACAGTCACGAAACATCGTGACAGCTGCATGCGTGGCTCAACACTCGCTAAGTAAGTCTGTCTCAGAGTCTCTGAACCGCATTGTTTTCCCTTCTGCCTAGTCCTTTCTACAATGCTACAGCCCAAAATGAAGCAAGTCTAGATTTCATTAGGTTCACAATCTAACTCCTCACTGGGGCTCCTTTTCAATTTAAAAGGAATTGTTTGTTTCTATCAAAACTACATCTATTCAGAGGCTAAGCGTTAATAAATCGTTGAGTGAACATATGCCCTTCCGGCGAAAATGAATAAATTACTCATGATAACGGGAAAATGCAAAGTGGTTTTTTTTCCAGAAATATCCATTTTGCTAGTGATGAACAATATCAATAGATATTGATCACGAAGTGCCCATAGACACGTTTTGATAACGTTTGTAACCCTATTTTTAAGTGTGTACTCATTTTTCCAACCCGGCACATTACATTCAGTTTCGTAGATTTTAAGTGACATTGTAAAAAAATATTTCCTGTTCCTATATGAATGTAGGTCAGATTATAACGACAGCGACAACTAAGTTTCATAAACTAAACTAAACTGCATTCCCAAAACTTTCCATTCAACGTTACCGCTTTATTATTTATTGATTGGTTGGTTGGTTGGTTGGTTGGTTGGCTGGTTGGTTGGTTGGTTGGTTGGCTGGCTGGCTGGCTGGTTGGTTGGTTGGTTGGTTGGCTGGCTGGCTGGTTGAGTTGTTGGTTGGTTAGTTGGCTGGCTGGCTGATTGGCTGGTTGGTTGGTTGGCTGGCTGGCTGGCTGGCTGGTTGGTTGGTTGGTTGGCTGGCTGGCTGGCTGGCTGGTTGGTTGGTTGGCTGGCTGGCTGGCTGGCTGGTTGGTTGGTTGAGTTGTTGGTTAGTTGGCTGGCTGGCTGGTTGGTTACAATATTTTTTTAAACAATATATCACATCGCCATAAACCATTATGCTGAGCATTTATTGCTCCCATATAGGGCTCACATTTGAGGTATGTTCCCATTATGGCTACTCCCGTCTTGTCTACTCATGAACATAAATACATAATGGAGCACCCCTACACTTAATAATGCACTGTACCTGTATAGGTGATTACTCCCAGTTTGTCTACTCTTTGAAATAAACCAATCAGGTAGACTCCCAGGGACCACCCGTATTTGAATCATTAACAGCCAAGTGAATCAGGGGTCTTGTGATCATTCGTTGTTTGTTTTGAGACCGCCTCCGTGGTGTAGTGGTTAGATAGTCCGCCCGGGGTGCGGAAGGTCGCGGAGTTCGATCCCCGACCGCGTCATACCAAAAGACGTAAAATATGGTACTTGTTGGTCCCTGCCTGGCGCTCGGCATTAATGGGTACAACAAGGACTGGTCGGCTCAGAGTCAGTATAATGTGTCTGAGTACGTCGGGTATTCATGCTTCACTGCGGCATGGTATCTCAGTGGGCTAGCACTATAAAACCAGTTTCAGTCTGGGCTAGTACAAGCAGCCGCACATACACATACATGCACGTCGTCATATGAGCGAAATATTCTCAAGCACGACGTTAAACCCAATTTCACCTCACCTCACCTCACCTCCTCCCTTGTTTTGATTGTTGGAGATAGCTCCTCTACTCTGATTAAAAATGTGTTGTTTGTTTTGAAAATTAGAAGCCTTCTCGACACACAAGGAAGGAAGCTACTGCTTTGCCTGAACATCGTAGAGATGTCACCCTAGAAGGAAGGTGGACTACTACAGCCGATGGGTGATGGGAAAGAGAGTCACAGGAAAATTTTGGCTACGAAAAAGTCCAAGGAAAAAAGTGACAATAACCAATTTTATTAAATTCATGGCGTACTGGACCACTTTGTACGTTTCCACCAGATTTTGTTCTTAAGATTTGCATGCTTGTCTTTCCAATTCTGTTTTGATGCCGCCTTTATTGCTCTTAAAGGTCACATGCAACCAAAAAATCAAACCGCCTTAAAACACAATTATCACTATTTCATGCCTATAATAGCTTATATGAAAAAACAAATAAACATTATAAGCGTAAATCCCAATCAACCCTGTTCAGGGAACCTCCCTCAAAATGGCCCTATTCCAACCCAGTAGCGGGTTTCATCGAATGCAACTTCAAATGGGAGAGAAGACTCATTGAGAAGTTACTATTGATTTGTACACATGATTTTTGTTTAACATTTTGCATACAGACATCAAGGATATTAGTGAAGGGGTTATGCTTATTTCCCTGGGTGAGATAATCCCATTGTTTCTGATTTCAGGGAATTAATACTTTCAAAAGATTTCATCTTATAAAAACTAAAAAGATTATAATTAGGTCTGATTGTTTTAAGTATGTGAAGGATGAGGGGTCATCTCAACATAATTTTTTGATTAAAGTATATCTTACAGTAAAAAGCCACTGATCTTTAGTCGGTATCAAAATGGCAAATCTCATGCCAGAGAGCTGAGTTCGTGACTTCACAGAGAGAGGTGGACTTCACAGCAGTTACTGTATGCAGGCTACCGGTACAGGCTCAATGTCAAGCGACAGGTTGCTACACACTGGAAGTGTGTCCTCACAGGATGCAATGGTCGCAGCAGCACCATCGGAGACCACGTAGTGTCCTCCACTATTCACAGCCACCCACCCTTTGAGAATGGAGAACACATCCGACTCGTCGCCCGTGTAAAAGAGCGTGTAAAGACTGACATCTCACCGGTGCTGCAGATCTACAACAACGAGCTCGACCTCCTTGATGAAGATGATGCCGCAACTGCACCCACGTACTCTAATATTCAGGCCGCACTGTACAGACACAGAGCCAAGTCCATCCCACCACTGCCTGAGAGCAGGGCTGGCGTCACTCTAGAAGGAATATGGACCCAGACCGATGATGGCCGAGAGTTCCTCTGTGTAGACGACGGTGAAGATGACAGACTTTTGCTGTTTGCTACAACCGAGATGCTGGAATTATTGAGCGACGCTGACATTCTCTTTATGGATGGTACATTCTTTGTGTGTCCTAACCTGTGGCTTACAAGTGTACATCATTCATTGTCTGGTGAATGGTAAAATGTATCAGTGCTATTAGTGAAGTCTTCCCCGACAGTTCCGTCCGAGGTTGCCTATTCCATTATTCTCAAGCTTTGTGGCGTCAAGTTTTGGAGAGGGGACTGTCTCGCGACTACATGAACAACCCAGCAGTCCAAGCCCACGTTCGACGAGCAGCTGCTTTGCCACTCCTTCCCCTGAACCAGGTCCAAGATGCTTGGTTTGAAGTCATCGAGCAGTCTCCCGACGGCGACAGAGTAGCAGCCTTCAACGACTACGTCACCAGCACCTGGGTTGAAGATGATGCCAAGTTCCCAGCACACATCTGGAACCAGCACGAAAACACAGGCCCGCGCTCAAACAACCATCTTGAGGGATTCCACTCTGGCTTGAAGAAACGCATACCCCGATCACACCCCAACATCTACCAATTCGTAAAGGAGCTCAAGAAGATCGAGAAGGCAGACAGGCGCACAAGACGACAGTTTGGACTTGGGAGGAGCAAGGAGACCACGAGCACGTGTAGACCGTGATCGAGATCAGAGGATCGAGAGACTCAAGGTGCAGCTTTCCACCGGTGTGAAGTCTGTGATGCAGTTCCTTGATGCTGTTGGCCACATCCTCAAGCTAAACTGAGAACTCAATTCAATCAAACTCATAACTCTGTGTGCTCCTGATGACAATGAAGTGCTTTATTTATTTTAATTTAAAATCAAAGTTATTAATGTATTAAAGTAATGTGAATCACATACATTTGTTTGTTTTTCTTATCCCTTAACATAGGCTGGTCCATTATTCCATGGGTAACATAGGCAGGAAATGGTGTGCAATGGTGCATAAAGTTGTTTTGATAAGACTGTAGGCGAAACGGTGATGTATTATTAGGCGATATGAGGACATTGACAGGTATAATTCACGATAAAAAGGTTATGGTAGTGGTTTGAAAACATTTGAAAGATCACTATATTAACAATACATGGTGTACTCGCCCTAACACTCAGTCAGAATCAGAAGTCAAGTCTCACAAAAAACTCAAAAGTAATTGTTGTCATAGTGTTTTGAAAACCTTTGACGGTGACCTTTTTCTCCTGTGACTTTCTCTCCTACACTGACGTCGTTTCCTTGCTGTTGAAGACGGAACTCTTCCACATCAATGACCTAACATAACCGGACATGTTATTGTCATGAGGACATGAATACCTCGTGTTGCAACCACATTCATATGTTTAGCAGTTGAAGTCAGGTGAGGTGAAATTGGGTTTTTCGTCGTGCTTGAGAATATTTCGCTCATATGACGACCTGCATGCGTGTGTATGTGTATGTGCGGCTGCTTGTACTAGCCCAGACTAAGCTGGTTTTATAGTGCTAGCCCACTGAGATACCATGCCGCAGTGAAGCATGAATACCCCACTCAGACACGTTATACTGACTCCGAGTCGACCAGTCCTTGTTGTACCCATTAATGCCGAGCGCCAGGCAAGAACAAACAAGCACCATATTTTAACGTCTTTTGGTATGACGCGGTCGGGGATCGAACCCGCGACCTTCCGCTCTCCGGGCGGACGCTCTAACCACTACACCACGGAGGCGGTCGTTTAGCCGTTGAAGTACACATAGTTATGTAATTAACTTAATAGATATTGTATGAACATGGTACAGCTGTAATTGTTTCATATATATATATAATATCATTATGGTGGAACAGTCTACCTGATGGAGGGGAGATATCTAGTAATTAAAACCATTTGACTGGAACAAATTGTGTATTGGACAAGTAGTCAAATTGGGAGTAGTTATAATAGGAGTGAACCACATTTGAACGGAGACTACGGACAGAAGCGAGCGTTCGTTATATGAATAAATATCCTATCACAGAAAGACAATTGTTCACTAGTGAAACGCCTGCCATTTTGTTGGTATACTGCATTTTCTCCATGGTGCTCGCTGTCTTTGTAGGCCTTGACGAATCATTTCCCTTGTTTCTGCGAACAAACAAAAGCATGAAATATGGGACAATAGAATTAACCTAGCCGAGAGCCGCGATGCGGTTAGAATTAACCCAACCAAATATATATAATACACAAATGTCACCCAAATGTGAACATATTCATTATAATTTAGCAGCTGTGCCACGTAATATCTGGAGTGCATCTAACCTCGCCTAAAGTAAAATATTCACTCGTGGTTAAACACCATCTCTCTCTCTCACACACACACACGCACGCACGCACGCACGCACTTTTTCACAGTCAGCTATTTTGAGTATTGCTTTGTTAGAATACAGGGCCTCCCCTATCAGACGAGACAAATAATATTAGTGTCACGTTTATTTCTGGAACGCACGCAGGTGTCACTACTGCCCATTCCTACGTCATGAAGGTCAAAGTAGGAACAGAGTTATCTTCCCTTGACTCATAAACGTCACAATCAGAAATACCCTGGTTTGTTTACATCTGGAAGTCTGTCAGAGAGCAGGGTTTTTGGCTATGTCGAGCTGAATTAGGAACAGTAAGTTGTGTTACTGACATATAATGTCTCAGTTACAACACAGATAACGTCCTCCTGGCGAAAAGTGACCTTCAATAATGAATTTAGTGGCCAAATGAAATATATTATACGAAGCTATGTATGGAGTACATCAGCTGGCCCCGGAGCTGGGCGGGCTATAAATAGCTCGCTGGGCTCGCGACTAGCTGAGCTTAACTGCGGTTTGTATACAGTTTATGGTAACGTACGGTGAATGTTAGTGTTGTTGCCAGTGTGTTAGTGTGTTCCGCCTGACCTTTGCTCGACTGACATTGACAGTGCTGGAGTGTATTGATTAAGTTCAATGACAAATGACTATATCGACGTCTCATAACATTGGAAACCACGCCCATTTTTTCATCTGACCATTCAAACTGGTGCACTTTCACGATTGAGGCCTTTGTGTATAAATAGATGTGTTCAGTGTTGACATATTTGTTGTATGTTGGAGTATGCGCATGACCTCCTTAATGTCATTAATTTTGAATGAAACTACCTATATCATTCAAAATGCTACGAATATAATTAAAGGAAAGGAAAGATTTTACACATAGAATTCTGTCATTCAACATGGTGTTTCAGAAATACCTATACTTTAACTATTGTGCATTTTTCTTTGTCATTTCCCTTTAGAGTTACATTTGTGATGTATCAAACATTTGGTAAATATTGATTTGATATAGAACCTGGGGTGAGAAAAAAAATTATTTTTGGGATCTCAACACAAATCAATGGCAGCTCAACCACTTTTTACATTTAAGATACCTTCGGTCTCTAGAACTAAACCTTTGGACATTTTCGATTGCATTATATCCTGTTACAATTTATGCTGATAGGCTTTCCACGTAATGTCTGTTAGTGAATCAAACATTCATGCATTCAGTATATTAAACTAAATAATCATATTTGTGTTTCTGAATCTCTTCCTCATTAATTATGTATGTCTGGCATATATATCTAAAACAGATGCAAAGTAAATGTTGAATGTAAGGATTTATGTGTCTGTCTATGTAGCATCAATCACCATCACTGTCTCTGGCCATTTAAGAATTTTGTTTTTGTCATTTTGACATATTTTTACATAACATGGACTTAAGTAATAAAACCTTGAATATATGACTATGTGACAAGATATAATGCACATACTGTCATCCCTCGCTTAATGCAGGTTGCAGGAGTCCACTGATGAGCCCCACATTATCAGATATCAGCTTTGTTCCTTACACGCAACATAGGTTGTATAATATCATATTTTCTTGCACATAATGCACATAATTGGGTAAATTGCTATTTTGTGTATTGTGAAAGTCAAAGAGTGCATCATATCGGGCCAGGTGACTTTGTCAATGAAAATGTGAAATTTGAGATACAAATTTACTACGCATGATGATTTACCATTGTAACTGTATTTCCTGTTACGCTAAACACGACTTTATATAAAGATATTAAGACTACTGTGTGCATTTGTATTGTAGACTAAACCAGATTAGTAAATTCAGGATCCACCGTTATGCAAATATTATATTTTGCATATGGAAATTTGGTCGAATATAAATTCCACTGTTTCATTCTGAACTTGTATGTTATGTAAACTTGTTTCTCATTGCCGAGGAAAATAATTAGCTCTTACACAAAATGGAAGAAATTGCAAAATTGGAGTAAAACAGGAAAGAGTTACATGTAAAACAAACAAGCTTTAGAAAACAATTGCATCTTTATTCTGTCACATTTAATGCATTGTTTCCAAATAGTGTTCATGATTTTCATATGAAATCCTAAATAAACTGTGGTTTTGTTTTATCTTGCAGATGAATGATGTATGTAGATAACGACTACAAATGATGAATGGTATTCCTGTGTCAGTGTTATGTAAGGCTGTTAATGGGTTAACAGGTATTGTTCTGTCATGGTTTAACCAGGACATTTTCTTAACATTTCTTAGATTTAGATATGAGAGGATTTTTGACTGGCTTCAACATTTTACAAGAGATTCTCAAAACACTAAGGAAAGTCACAAATGCTATATTTATATTCTATATTATTTAGATTATATGTGAATGAAGGGATTTACTCTAGCTGAAAGTCATTATAATTGATTTGTGCCATGAAAAATGAACTGTGAATACACGATGCACTTTAGAAAGTGGTCAATGCAATTAATTCATAGCTTCGATCATGGGAGCCATGTCAATTTACACTTGTCAGATGGATACACTAAGTATTTGATCTAGAGTGCCAGCTGTCAGGCTTCCATTTTAGTGGAAACTGCAGTGGCTGAGTGTAATCTCAGATGTTACACATGCAAATATGAACTGGTTTATAATCTTGTCAATTTGTTGATGTCCGGTTAAGATTATGAACTCAAATGAAATCATGGATTAATAAACAAGGGGAAGTAACTCTTGTGCAGAAATTTTGCCCAATATGCAGAAATTTTGCCCAATAACTGTAGTCTGGAATACCGATGTCATGAGAATGTTGAGTCAGGTTGATTATGGGTATAAACAGATTTGAGTGTTGTGGTTGAGGTATAATTTCTCTGTAATTTTGCAGAACGACCCTGTGTCCCTTCAGAAAGGCTAGTGAACTTCTACCTCAGAATCAGCTGCAGCAGCAATAGCATAGTAGTCATGATCCAGGAGTCATTAATATTTACAAAGCCTTGTGTCTTGATGAGGCAGCCTATCATTAGTTTCTTTCACAGCTAATTTAGGTCTATGAAAATAATGCCTTGAAATACATGTTTCCTAATGAGTCAAGTTGGTTAATATTACATTTTTTATTATAAAATTGTTGCTTTGTCAAAAATTAAATTAAATCCTAAAATATACAGTTATCGCAAAATTTATGCAAAACGTATTTCTGTAGATCTGTGTATCACAATAATAAATTCTCATGTTCACTCAATATAAAGGCGATCATCTTTTGAAGCTGACATAAAATCTCCTTGATGTTCCCTTCAGAATGGCCCAAATATGATGATACCACAAGTAGTAGTAGTAATTAAAAAACACTCATACTTATAAAAGTATACCCCTTGTAATAAAACAATGCCCCTAGAAATATAATGTGACCATTGTACTGAAAGAATGCTGACAGTAAAAGGACATTAATCATGAAGTATTAATATTCCAAGTAAAAAGACAAGGCCCCAAATATTCAATTCAGGCCCTTTGAAATGAGACATAATAATAAGATGATGCCCCCTTCAAATAAGATGGCACCACTGTAATATATTATGCCTGTTGTGATAGGACAATGATACTTAATAATAAGATGATGTCCATTGTCATAAGACAATATCCCATGTAATAAGTCAATGTCCTTTTATAATAAAATGATGCTCCTTGTAATAAGATGATGGCCCACTGTAATAAGACAATGCCTCTTGTAATAGGATGCCCCTTCTAATGATATGATGCCACTTGTAATAAATTATGCCTGTTGCAATAAGACAATGTCCCATGTAATATCATGATGCCCTTGTAAATAAAGCAATGTCCTTTATAATAAGATGATGCTCCTTCTAATAATATGATGCCACTTGTAATAAATTATCCCTGTTGTAATAAGACAATGCCCCTTTATAATAAGATGATGCCCTTTTTACATGATGATGTCCCTTTGTAATAGGAGGACACCCATTGTAATATGCTACCCTCCATTGATTAGATGATGTAATTTGTAATTAGACGATGCGCCTCCTAATATGATTGTCCCTCTTTCCCTCTTGGAACATTTCTAATTGCAATATGTAACATTAAGTTTCTGCAACAGGTATTCCACATATAAACTTATTGATTATTCTGCTTTTTCATTACAAATTATTATATGAAGATCGAATGACCTGATGAATATTGCCTTGATCCATATCAGCTGTATTGCTGCCATGTGAGTCCTTCGTCAGGTGCACGTTCTCTAGCTTGTGCTATATGTCCTAGATGGAGAGATACTGTAAATTCAACCTTTGCCAAAGTTTTCTTTAGCTGCTCAGAGGTTCATAATCTAAACCTTTACAAATTTAAAAAGTGAAGAGGCTTTAATGCTTAGTTCGACATTGTTGTATTATATACAGTGTAAACAATACCCCTTAGCTTAAATAATAGATATTTAGCAAAAAATCCCAACACTGAGTAAGATAATTTTGTTCCTAATTGCCAAGGAAGCTTAGTTGAGAAGTCTGGATCCCTGGCCTAATATTCATGTATATTAATGGCCCCTAGAGATTTAAGTAAAAGCAATATGTCTTAGAGCCTGTAAGTAGATAGTGTGCTTTAAGTGCTTTATAAAGTTGCTGTGATTATGTTACAAAAGGTGTTGATAAATCAACAATAAAAGAACAGTTACATAGATCTAACACTTTGTGAAAATGCTAACTTAAAATAATCAGTCTTAATTTTTACAGGTTAAATGTGACATTGCCCAACAATATGACAATAATGTGAGGTATTACATGTTTATTGCATAAACTCCCTTGTCAAACATTTAATCAGTAACGATTGTATTGTCCAGTAAAACAACCCAGCAACAGAGTGATCCCATTATACAAAACCAAGAAAGTGATATTGACTTTCATATATTTTCAGTCCTTATTTTGATGAAACTGTAATATCAAAAGAACAGCATTTTTAAACTTTTACTGACAGTTACTAAATTTTCAGGAACTAGGAGCTATAAATTTTTGTAACCTTTGCTTACAGTTACTTCCCTTGTTTTGCAGTAGACAATGCAGGACTTCCACAGTGACGTCCACAAGAGTCACCTCGCTGAGGGACTGTCTCATCTTTGGCAGAGTGGCCGATTCTGCGATACTATTATCTCCGTAGAAGGGAAGACGTTCCCCTGCCACCGTGTCATCCTCTCTGCTGTGTCACCCTATTTCAACGCCATGTATACTTCGGGGATGCGTGAGTCTCTAGATGGGCTTGTTACTATCCACAACATCCAGGCCAGTGTGTTCCAGTCCATCCTGAACTTCATCTACTGCGGTAACATCGTCATCACCGCAGAGAATACCATGGACATTCTCCATGGTGCGAGTCTCTTTCAAATCAGCACTCTGCAGCAAGTGTGTGAGAAGAACTACTGTGAGAACCTGACTCCCCAGACCTGCATCGCCATCTGGAGGATCAGCCAGGCTTACAGCTGTACAAGACTCACAGAGCATGCTTGGAACTACATCATCGATAACTTCAAGTCTGTATGCCGCAGTGAGGACTTCCTGGAGCTGACGAAAGAAGAACTGTTCCAGATCATTAATGAAGACAATCTGAATGTGGAAAATGAGGAGACAGTTTGTGATGCAGTTCTACCCTGGCTTGAACATGACCGCAAGCGTCTGGCAGACATCAATGAGATCTTTCACAACCTGAGACTGCCTCTGATGAACAGCAACTACATCAGTACATTGCTGGAGACTAAGCCTTGCATCCGAGAGAATCCCGACTGCTGCGATCATCTCCTACAGATGCAACAGGGTGGCCACAGACAGGAACTCACCCCTGCACAGTATCAGATGTTCAGAGAACGCAACGAACAGGTCCTTGTGATGGTTGATGGTCGCAGACAGGAAGTAGCCTGTTTCAGTCTCCAGAGAAAAAAATCCTTTGCTCTTGCCAAATTTCCATACTTTGCTGATGGCAAAGCATCCTGTGTTTTGAAAGGAGATATATATGTCTGTGGAGGAACATCAGGAGTGGCCGAGAACCGCCTTGTCAAATATGAAACCAAGAGAAACAGATGGATTGAATGTTCACCCCTGCAGCAAGGCCGATGCTACCATGAGCTTGTGTCCGTCGGCGATAGCTTGTATGCAGTTGGAGGGTTTGTTGTTAATGCTGCTGTTTCGGGAATAGAAGAGTACAATATTCACGCTAACAGGTGGACCAAGGTTGGTGACCTCCTTCTTCCAGTGGGAGGGCTCTCAGCTTCAAGCTTGAAGGAAACAATTTACATGTTCGGAGGCAAGAAGGACAGGCTGGACAGGAAGACAGCAGTCTTCCAGAGTTTCAACACCAGGACACGAACCAGCACTGTCTTGGGTAACCTACCCGTCAACACGTGCTGGAGTCAAGCGTTGACTATCGATGATGCCATATATGTCGTCAGTCCAGATGGAAATGTCATCAAGTACACACAAAAATCCTACCCAGCCATTGTCAGTGTCATCAAGAATCTAGACTGCGAGTATTTCCGCATCGTCAATCACAACAGAAAAATTCTCATCCTTCAAGTCGGAGACACAAAGTACTATGATGAGTTGAGGATTTTTGATCCAACATCAAGCGATGTCATCGTCGCCAGGGAGAGGCTCCCAAGATCTCTGTGCGACTCTGACTGGCTGAAAGTGGTCATCAACCGTCATCATTTGAAGTATGAGTGTAGCACTCATCATGGATACCGTTAATCATCTGGGCCATCTTGGTCTCTAATGGAAAAAAATTCCAATTGTATCGTCTAATTATTGCATTTGTGTGCTCTTTTAGAACAATTTACATTTACTTATACTTCTACCTTATTTAGTAACAAGATTTTTGTTATGCGTTAACAAATTGGTTAACATTTTAGTCTAATTTTGATGAAAGATTATATTTTGAGGAAAGATGATTTCCCACTTTGATCTAAGTCCACCTTTTTTGCATACCTCAGAGACAATGAACCTCTTTTTGAAAAGCAGCATTATGTAAGATCAAAGTCATTCCAGGTGCCCCTGTACCTAAACATAAGAATCATGACATTATATCATTTTGTAGCCTGACTGGCGTATATCAAGAAATCTTCATTTCCCATTAAACTATCAAGGAAAACAATACTCAGCGTACTCCACTGCCTGTTTGGTTAATTTATTTTATCCCATTACTCATTCATTGCTTGATCTATGAATGTTGTTTTGAATGGATGTTTCTATTTCTACATGCGTCAGGTGTGTGTGTGAACTAATCATGATATTTTATGAGGACATGACATTTTTTATTAATTCAAACTATTAATTTAAAGAGGAATTGACTTTAAGTTTTTAGATATCAGTTGCGTAGATCAATTTGCATGATGTCAATCACTAGATTGTCTGATACAGACTTGATCTTGATTATTTAGGGTCCGTGCATAATTTATGGAGGGAGGTTTTAAAGAGAGATTTTTGGGGAGATTTCACCCATTTACTTCTGGGGTGGTAGGGGGATGATATCAATTTTGTACATTAATATATTAAAAGGTTATGCCTAAAAATTATGGGAGTGGGGGAGGGTGTCATTGATTTTGTAAATGACATGCAGTGGGGTCACTTACTTTGTACATAATCATCACTCTCTCTCTCTCTCACACACACACACACACACACACACACACACACACACACACACACACACACACACACACACACACACACCAGCCATAAATTATTAACGTTCCCTCTCACAGATCTCTGACATGTAATACGTTGAAAATTGCTGACAAGTTTAAATGGATTTGCTGACTTTGGTCCCATGAAAACCTATAACTAGTCCTGCCAATGTATCAACCATGGAAATTCCAGCGGTGAGGAGCCCAGGAAACTAGAAAGTGCAAGGATGACACATTTTATATTATACTCATATAAGTATGGCTCATAATGAATATTTGTTGTAAATATGACAGTTGTCTTGATTACTCTGTTTCCAATAATGGACAAATTCTGTTTCTTGTAATGTAGCTTGCAAAACAAAAAAGAACGAGAGTATTTCAAAAGGGCAAAACATCACCAAGACAACATACATATATGCACCAGTGATACTGAATGAATCTTAATGTTCGTCTGGTGATCTTCTTGTCATTTGATATGGTTGAACCAGTGCAAGTTCTTCTTACGTTTCAAGTATCACTTGCCACTTTCAATAACCTACAAGAAAATAGGGCTTGGACGGGTCCCCACCCCCTATTACCCTACCCTACCCGGATACCCGTTAGGTTCATTCCTGACATCAAATTTGTAAGAATTGGCAATATATTCTTCGGCTCAGAGGCTACAATTTCGAGTTTATATAATATCTTAACCATGTATTATGTTCAAAACAGGTGACTGCACAATTATGTCTAAATCTTCAAAGACAATACAACCTTCTAATCATGAAAGAATAACATATTACATTGTTTAATCTATTGGTCATATGGTAATAACGGGTGTGGGTATTGAGTGCCCGGGTCCAACTCATTACCCACCCGTCCCGGGTATCGGGTTTACCCATCGAAGCCTTACAAGATAACTGCTGGGTGTGTCCCTCAATGAGTTGGTTACGAATGTTTTTTATGTGATTTGCTCTGTTTGCTGACAGTGTTGAAGCTCACTGGAAGCAATGTATGGTGTTGGGTTTGCAGATTTGTTGTTTTTTCAGCCCATTGGCTCAAAGGTCAATTTGAGCTTATGTGAAAGCATGCTGACAACTTGTTACAGGTTTACAAAGAATGCTTTATGATTTGTATGTCTTGTACATATTCTAATGTTTTAGCTAAATGTCATTGTTTTTATCCAATTGTCAACAAAGTGAAACCTTTTGAAACACTGTGGATGTAATACTTCAGCTGAAACAGAAACAAGCATAAAGAGGTGAATGTCTGTTAGAAAGAATACAGTATTTTGCTTTGGATAACATTTTGGTTATATCACAAAAATTATCAGAGAAGAAAGTGAAACATGGCACAAACCATGTGCCCTTGAAGTGACCTTCTAAGGAGATGTCATAAGATTTTTATACAGTGAAGAACAGTATCAGAGTAAAAAGAACTGCTTTTAATGAGATTATTGTCAAGCTGAATCTTAGATTTAAACAATAAACGTGGCATTACACAGAGAAAGGTATCCACTCATAACAGAAAATATAACAGATACAAAAAAGATAGGATCTTGCTGCAAATAACAGCATTGTTAAGTACATTGAAGCTTCGTGAGCTTTCTTCTTGAAAACCAGTTATATATGTTTTGATTTCAGTGGTTGTGTTTGCGTTTCCGATATGTCCTCAAAATATTAAACTATCCCGTATTAGACAAATATATGCAAGGACACAAAGGTGAAGGTCAGCCATATAGGTAGAATACTGCTGAGTGTGGCATTTAAAACAAACAAACTAGACAAAGGTGAAGGTCAGCTGCAAAACTGGTGTATTCCTGAAATTTCAGTTTTCTGTCAACATAAACATTTTCTAAATATTTCAAGCAGAATAGTTGCTTATTTCAAGCATATTTGTTGCGGCAATATGTATCTATCCCACTTGACCATACTGGTCAGCCAATGCCACCATTAGCATGTTGCCTTCTGAAGCTCAATAATTATGCATGTTATGAAGAACAAATGACCTCGAACACTGCTCAAATTCATGCTCTCACAAATTTATAAAGCATGTGTTTTCTTTATTTTTTGGTAGCAATTTATTTTGAGCAGTTGAACAGGAACAACGAACTGACAGCATTATCTAAAGGACAGTAGTGCACCCGCACAGTATAGTTTGGAAAAAGATTCCTAACTTTGACACTACACCATAAGAAGTACTACAAGACAGCTTACAAATAGGCCTTTATATAAAAATATGTCCCTAAAATATGTTCTTTTCACCATGGGAACCTTTGCTTTTTATTTTGTATGTGCACTCAGGATTTGAATGGTTCCTTTCACTGAATTGTCTACGTCAATTAGTCAAAACCCTTCAAGCTGGGGTGCTACAAAGTTAAAACTATAATTCCTAGAACCCAATCCTTTTTTATGTATGCTACTAAAGAGAAGTTAAGGATATCCCCTCATTTCATATTAAGGTAGTTAATCTGTCATACCATGACTGACTGAGTTTGGTTTTACGCCGCTTTTAGCAATATTCCAGCAACATCACGGCGGGGGACACGAGAAATTGGCTTCACACATTGTACCCATGTGGGGATTCGAACCCGGGTCTTCGGCGTGACGAGCCAACGCTTTGACCACTAGGCTACCCCACCTCCCCGTCATACCATGAATCATACTGTAGACTGACTATATAAATATGAAACAATGATCCTTAACTTCTCTTGGGTGGTATATATCCATCAATGTAATAATCCTTATGTAAAATCAAGCCAAACTTCACCTTTGAACTCATTTACAGTTTGCACCTTGCTGATTGTTCCTGCACCAAGCAAGGATGTAGAATGTCTGGCAACGAGGGGTAATACCAGAAATGAAATGAAATAAAAATTTAAAATGTTGTTTCATCGGTTTGGAATTATAAACATTAAAACCAGTATGTAAACTATATAAATCTCCAGTTAAACACTCAGAAACAGTAGACTATACGACATCTTTGAGCAGTATGATACAAAAGAAGAGTGAAGCATTCTGTCACAATAAGGTAATGGTTGTCCAATAGTGGCCCTGATGTTGTTTCAAGTAATCAAACTACATGGTTAGCCTATCAAATTCTTTGGAACCCCTTGGAATTTCCGTTTATATGAATTAAAACAATCCATGTATTCTTTTCAATTGTCAGACATATAATTCTTTGAAAACATCATGAAATGAGTCTAATATGGTTAGCTTAAATCTCAACCAGTTATTTAGAACTTGTATGTATAAATATTGGCTTGAATGCAAATAGTACATTATGTGGATTATTAAGGTACTATTCATTACCATCAGTAGATGAGTCACCTAGCAACCATCAGAGTACTTGCTGGATTTAGGTCTGAATGCTGGGCAATTATAATGCTTTAGCTGTAGCGGTCTACCAATGTAAACACTTTTTGTCTTGTTCATTTATGACTTTTACACCTGTCAATAACTCATATTAGTTAGGTTTGAATAAAATAAATGTCATGGTTTCATTATTCCAACTCCTGATTGATATTGTGCAACACTTTTCTATAATCTAACACAACCATAATATCAGTCTTTTATATAATTATATCACACACAACCAGTTAATTATTAATATTTCAAAGTTTTTGAAAGAATTTATTAACAAATGATTTAATTAGTTAAATTAGGGGTTTTTTTAACCTAGGGCAAGTTATCAGCCTGAACATGCATAAATGCTCGGGTGAAGATATTTTATTTTTTCATTTCATTTTATGTATCTCATTGAGTTGCACGGTCCTGACTAGTATCTCCTAACAGCTGAATAATTCTATGATCAATTAATTAAAAAGGATGGCCTTTCAGAAATCCAAATTGTTGGTACCATGACATGTATTTCTTCAAACCTGTTTAGACACATATAGCATCTTATTAGTTGAATGTTTACAGGGGAGTACTATGTGATTCTGACAGCACGTTGTTTGTTGTTTGTTGTAAAAGTATATATGAAGGTTATTTGTGAACTATACGAGGCTGTTGACAGCTACCTTGCAATTGTTAATGACGTCTGTGATGATGATTATGAAGTTCTCTGTTAAGATTAACTCTGTTACATGATAACTGGAAATGTGATGAATTTGCAAAACATGTTACTTCCGACTTCCCTTGAATGGATGTGAATACATCGGTCATAAATAAACCATTAGCCACATGCAGACTTTGTAGTTATTTCATTTCAGCTATTGGCATTATGTTTTAATGTACTACTCAAATGAAAGCAACAGAACATCCAATTCTTTCATATTATTTCAGGGGCAGTGAGGTAGCCTAATGGTTAAAGCATACACTCATCATGTTCGATTCCCCCCTTGGGTACAATGTGTGAGGGGTGGTTGGGTAGCCTAGTGGTTAAAGCATTGGTTTGTCACACCAAGACCTGGGTTCGATTCCCCACATGGTTACAATGTATGAAGCCCATTTCTGGTGTCCCCCGCCTTGATATTGCTGGAGTATTGCTAAAAGCGGCGTAAAACTATACTCACTCACTAAAATGTGTGAAACCCATTTCTGGTGTCCTCTGACTGGACATTTGCTAAAACCATACTCACTCACTCAGTCATATTACTTTTCTTTTTTTTTAAATCTTTTTATTTGTTCCCATAATTGAGTACAAGCATATAAAGTAAAGCAATAAATGTACAAATACATGATCAAAGTTCATTGGGTTCAACAAAAATGTTAGATCAACTGATAGCATAGAGAGAATATAATCCAGTAAAGTTATCCCCTTCGATTAAAGATTAAGTCAGAAATTAAATATTGAGAATAAAGGAAACCATTTGTCCGAAAATTTATCAAAATTATTGTTCCTTCTGGATATGAAATTTTCAACCGTATAAATGTCTTTCAAACTTTTAAGAAATTATTAACTTTTGGAATTATTTTCTTCAAAGTGCAAGTATATATACAGTATATATATGTATATCTTTTAGCAGATAAGATTATATGATTTAGTAATGGCTTATTACCCAAAATTCCAAACCAAACCAAGGTCTTTGTTATTTCAAATTTCTGTATGTTTTGGATTATCCAATTCAGTCATATTACTTTAGTTAATCTGTAATTATCCTGCCAGATGACACATCAACTATAGTAATATGAAACAATCAGGTGTCCTGTAGCTTCTTCTAAAAGGGATAATTGGGCATGGAATATTCAGTCACACTTCCTAATATTGGTAGTTTTCATTGTTGACAATCCAAGATTGAATATTTTAATTCTGTTATAATAAATTCCATGAGGCCATTTTACTACCATGTCTTGATTTCAAGTCTGTTTAAAATAGAACAACACTGAAAATAGCTGTCCAATCAAATAACCCAGTATGGTTGGTTTCTTGGTGTTTAACGCTGCACTCAGCAATATTCCAGCTATATGGCAGCGGTCTGAATACATAAATAATCAAGTCTGGATCAGACAATACAGTGATTAACATGTCATGAGCATTGATCTAAGCAATTGGGATACGATGACATGTGTCAACCAAGTCAGTGAGCCTGACCACCTGATCCCATTAGTCGCCTTTTACAACAAGTATAGGTTACTGAAGACCAATTCTAACCCGGATCATCACTGTATGAGATATGTTCTGCCTGAGATGGTGATGGAGCTTCTGAACAAAGCAGTATTTAAGCTACAAAGTGGAGGTCTGTAAATAATCAAGTTTGGACCAGACAATCCAGTGGTGGACATCGTAAGCATCGATCTTTTACCAAGTCAGCAAGTCTGACCACCCGATCCCTCAAGTCGCCTCTTACGACACGCATGGGTTGCTGAAGACCAAGTTGAACAGCAATCTTCACAGGTATTTCAGTGTCGATCTCTTCCAGTTAAAACCAAACTGGAAACATAGATGGAGCAGCGAATGGGTCCAGTTGGATATAGGTGCTGCATTTGTCAGCAGCCCTAAACAACAAACAAAAACAAAAACAAAAACAAAGCCTCACCCCATAAAATGAAAGGCTGTTCAAGGTTTTAAAAATATCATTGCATTCTTTTCATCGAAAAATCATTCTTTAAAACTATTTAGGAAAGACTTCCGCCCGTATCCCCCCTTAAACTTCTAGTCACCTGAATATATATTCCTCATCTGATAAGGATGAGTTTTATCTGAATATATTGAAAGACATATCCAACTTCTAAAAATGCCACTGAAAGAAATTGTTCCTCATCGTTAAATTCTTACCACTATTTATTTATTGCCTTTCATGAGGAACATAAAAGACATTTGGAGACTTGAAAGCATCTTTTCGTAACTAACCCCACCCCCGAGTTCATTTGAGAGTTTGGAGTTATCTCCCTTCGACTACCGACGCGCGAAATCAAAATCCGGAAGTGGATAACGATGTCAGACAGATTTCAGTTTCCACGTCGATATGCGTACGTTATTTACATCATACACAGACACACTATTCGCCACTTATTGTTTCCAGTGTTAAATTAAAAGTCAAATCATAATACCACATATTCATAAGCAATACGTCTATCTCTGAGTGTTGTCGAGACAGAAATGTCGATACTGTAGACAGTTATGATTTGTATCGTCGGTTAATATAAAAAACAGCCCGACAAAACCCAAAATCGAAAATGACAAGTCTTGCACAATCAAAGGTTTCAGCTAATTTGGTCCTTTGCCGAAACATCTGCTGGTCAAAGGCGGACATCTCTCGGGGACCATGATAAACAACCAAACAAAATCAAATCTAGACCTATAGAACTGCAGTGTGGAAATAGTTTGATCAAGTTTACACCTTATGTATGTTTGTAATAACATCGTATTTATCATTTCTGTTTCAGAAAAAGAGAAACTGTTAAAAGACCTTTCCAGATAGTCAAGACATGGTTGACACCAAATGTGGGAGACGTACGTGTACATGTTATCTTTACAACAATGAATTTCTGTTTTAGAAACAGCAACAACCCGTCTGTACATGGATGGGATATTGTTCCTTTATGTGGATATTGATGGATACATTCATCGTACAAGTTATCTGCCTGATTTTATTGATAAAACTTTTGTTTTCATTCATTTGTTGTAGCATTGGACTTCACTTCATTTACGTTATCTTTGGGAATTTCTTCGATGGGAGACAGACAACACAAAATCGTTTTCTCAAGCCTTTTCATTGTAGGCATATACGTGTAAAATATGATTGACTTTGGCAATTTGTGAATTGCCAAGATATTACAGTCATTTTACAAATTCACACAAAAACCTGGATCAACTAAAAATTTATTATGAAGTTCCAAAGTGCATAAAACAGAAATTCATATATTATGGCTGGATTATAAACCAGATGTATAAAGATAACTTCACTCCATTTTCTTTCAGTCCTTACACTTTTAGTCACTGTTAGTGGTGGGAATTGGTTGAAATTTCATAATCGATTATCGGTTGCTATCAGATTGTCCCATCCGATCAATGATTGATTGTATAATCGGTTATACTGATTAAGAATTAAATATTTTTACAACTTCCAAGGTGCAATTCTGTTACAAAACATTTGAACTCTGTTACAATACTGCAAATGAAATACAGTCAAATCCCGATGAGTCGTGTATTTCGTATGCATAACTTCGAAGTACTTGTCGGTCCCGACCATTTTTTAATTATTCATTTGAATACCGGTTACACCTAATTGCCTCGAATACACAAAAGGAAATCCCATATCAGCAATCTTATACATAAGCCAAAGTCAGTCAATGAGTTGATTGGTGTAGCAAACTGATCCAATTAACAAAAACGTGACCTTTCCGCCATTGACGGTTGAGTTGAGGCAGATTAGTGCATCTAATCAAACTGAACCCTATTAAAACTCCTGAATAGGCAGAAGAATAACTGGATTCTTTTTTCTACCCTCATAAGTTTGAATAATTATTGTCATTTGAGGCAATCGGGATTTGATTGTACAAAATCACAAAAGAACCCAAAAACTCCTGAATATAATATTTTTCATAAGTTTTAATAATTATTGTCATTTGAGGCATTGATCAACAAAACCCAAGTGTGTACCCAAAAAAATAAAACTAAATACTGACAGGCTACCAAGATATATACTACCCATCAAAAGTTTAGACTCACATGTATATATATATATGGTTGCATCGAGGATGAATTTCTCCACTAAACTTGGGGAACCAACTGCAAATATTATGCAGATGAATTGCATGAGGATCATGCATCAAATTGCTGAAAAGCATGTGCAACTATCATGCATGTGAACAGCTGCGTTTTGGTGTAAAGTTTTGTTAAGAATTCACCAATTTTCACTGAGTTTCATCATTTATTGAACTCATGACAATAATCTTTTCAATGTTACGAATTTGTTTTACAATACATCAGTTCATGTGTAAACAGTACCTCTAAACAGTATGGAATATTTTACAAAATCTAGTTTAGAACAATTGACTGAAGTAAGTGGCTACATTTACACTAGTGAGTCTAAACCTTTGATGGGTAGTATAGAAAAGATGACTGTTCAATTCACTCTTTTATAGATTCTCCACAATCACAATAAATCCTCACAAATTTTTCAAAAATTTGACCACTTTTTACACTAATGTACTGTATATTACTGTAGATAAGCCAAATTTTGTGGACCAAAAATAGCAGTCTGTAGAAGGGGGTCGACTTATCTATGGTTTACACTTTTGTCAAACATTTGTTCAGGGGGTAAGAAAACAACATCGTATCGCTTTGCATGAACAAACAGACAAGAGAAGATGACTTTGCCAGAAAAGACGTAATTTGCAATTAAACATCACTAGACAAGATTATTTACCTTTTCAGTTCTAATTTGTTTTGCTAGGCATTGTATTGTATGCAGGGATTAAGATTACCATGTGTATTTGTCTCGTATGTAAAGCCGGAAATTAGCAATCAGCTGTGAACACGCTTCCTGGCGATCTAGTTAAAACATACCCAATAATACAGTGGAATGAATTCTGACGCAGTGAACATCTAAAACTGTTATTTTACCAAGAGAAATATATCCTAGCATTGTGTAATTTTACTTACAGGTTTTGCTCTATAAATGTAAAATATGTATAATCAATACTAAGGTTATATGGACCCTCACGAACATGGTAAAACTGAAGTTGTACGCGCATGGAATGAGGTGAAATACACATGCCAGTTTGTTGTGATCGCCAGCTGCAATAAATATGTAATTTTGCAAAACGAAATATATATGCGTATCCTTTTTCTGTCAACTACGCTTTATTTTGAGGCGTGAGTAGACACAATATAATTGTGATTTCTGTGAATAAAGCAGATAGAAGGTATGATTATTGGTAACTGCCAGTTGTCTTTTTGTCTGAGTTCGGTATTCTTGACTGTTTTCATAAGAATTATTAGCGACAATCTTTTATGAAATTTTGCAATAGATTATCGCATCGGAAAATGGTAACCGATCAATTATCGATTATGATCGATCATCGGAACACCGTTAGCCACAGTGTTATGAAAGTAAACTTCAAAATGTTTGGAGCTGTTACCATCATAAACTGGATGGACATATTTTGTAGCCAGTTTGTAAAATAACTGAAATTTCCCAATTAATCAAGACAAGCTGTGTTTGATCTTGTTGATCAATGGGAGGATATACTATCAATTGTGCTTACAGGTGACATAGTAGAGGTCGCAAACCAGTCAGGAATTATGGGATATCATCCAGGTACAAACAATAACAAAAGCAACATCGTGTCTCGGGGAATTGCTCTAGATAAGTGCCCCTTTAAGATCCCACTTATTCATTCTCTCACTCACACTTGGTTGGTATGCATATCAGTTTCTAAAAGTAGTTCAGTGTGTGCATTAACTATGTCAAGAAGTGCATTTTATGATGTAGAGAATATAAGCCCCATGACTGTCTGTATTATAGTTATTATTTACGAAGAGTACACATTATATTTTAGGCGGTGGGGTAAACTGGAGGTTAAAGCTTTCACTCGTCACACCGAAGACCCGGTTTCGATTCCCCTCCATGGGTACAATGTGTGAAGCCCATTTCTGGTGTCCCCTGTCGTGATATTGCTGGAATATTGCTAAAAGCAGCGTAAAACCAAACTCACTCACTCACTCAGTCAGTTTATGTAATAAGACAGCCTTGTCGAGTTGTCATTTGTTTCAGCCTGCCATGCCCAGGTCTAATTGCAAAGTCAATGAAGGTACTTATGCCACAGTTGAGAAATTATGCTTTTGATTTGCCTCTTGTTAAGACATTCAGGCAATTTTGGATCTTGACCTCTTTCCCCACCTCTAACCCATTTCATCAGACCCACCAATCACCTTATTTTCTGTTCTTCAAGATAATATCATACCCTTGGCATGTGCTTAACGCTACTCCATTAGTGGTTGTGAGTTACCTTATAAACCCATGAAGATCCGGGTTAGAATTGGTCTTCAGTAACCCATGCTTGTTGTAACAGGCGACTAACGGGATCGGGTGGTCAGGCTCGCTGACTTGGTTGACACATGTCATCGTATCCCAATTGTGTAGATTGATGCTCATGCTGTTGATCACTGGATTGTCTGTTCCAGACTCGATTATTTACAGACCCGGCGGCATCTTGTTATAATACTGCTGAGTGCAGCGTTAAGCCAACCAACCAACCAACCAACCAACCAACCAACCAACCAACCAAGTTAGCTTACATACCGACACAGTTTGGCTTGATGTGAAATTTTCTATGTGATATGATTTTGAATTCAGATTCAGCATCATGGTACTGTAGATCTAATCCTTAATGATAACTACAAGCAAATCATTAGTTCTCTTATTTTGTATGAATTTTTAAAGTGAGGAAACACCCACTGATACATTTGACTTATGACAATGACCTCTTGACTTTAGTCGTTAGTTTCAAACAATATCAATATCAATACCACAAAAATAGTGAATTTTCATGTCTATAGTCCCTATGCTTGTTTTGCAGTCCAACCCTGGCACATCAGATGCTGACAGTACAATACAGCATGAATTCCAGGAATCCTCCAGCCCAGATGGTGGGGACATTGAGTTCACAGCAGCTTCCAAACCAGCTGATGCCCCTGTCGACCCTACTCTTGCAGAGACAGCAGAGAGCCAGGAAGGTCAACAGAAAGACATTGAAGCTGAACCTGGACCAACTGTTGAAGAGGCAGAGCCACCCCTCATCCAGGAGCCACCACCTGGAGCCAGCCAAGTGGAGCCTCACCATGATGTTCCCCCAGAGGAAACAGAACCAGAACAAGAAGACCCTCTGCAAGTGTGCACCGAGGACCACCAGGACTCTGATCATGATGTTGAAATGCCTTGCATCCAAGATGCCCTCATGTTGGAACTCCAGTCACCTGAGGAGACTGTAGAAGCAACAAATCCCAAAAGCTGTACTGAACCAGGGTTGAAGGATGTGGAGCCTGATGATGCACTAGGCAATGTTGATCGATGGACTGTGAAGAATTGGACAGATGTTGGAAATCCTGAAACTCAGGATCAAGGCTCAGAAGAAGTACCAATATCGGAACAGGTGGTGGAAGCAACAAGGCCTCACACCATCAGTGATGTGCACCATGATGTTCCAGTCTCAGAACAGATGCCAGACATTACGGCATCGTCCTCTGAGGAAACTGCTGATCCAGCAAGCTCTAGTGTCAACGTTAGCGAGCAAGAAAAATCTGAATCTCTATCATCAGAAATTGTAAATGAAAACAGGGCTACAGAATTGTCTTCCAAAAACGGGAAGAGTACCCCAATCCAAAGTTCACCGACAAAGGAATTCTCAATTCGTCTTGACAGAATTGAAGTTGAAAAATACTTGTCGTCAAGTAATGGAAAGGGAAGTAGAGAGACCAAGACTGACAGAGGTTCAGCCTCACAAGAAACATCCAAGACATCAAAAAAGATTATTGGGTATAAAGAAGATAATGCATCAACATCTGATGATGAAGATGATGAAGACAGGATAACATCAAGTACACATGTGGAGAAAACACCGAGGGAGAAAAGCCACCTGCAGTCAAAAGCATCAGAGAAGAAAAGTGCAACAAAGTCGCGTCCAAAATCAACAACAGTATTGCCTGAGGAGGATGTTCCTGGTTCTGAAGATACCATGGATTCTGAAACAAGTTTCCAACCAGTGGATGATGTGACAACCTCACACAAAAATGTTGGAAAGGAACACACAGGAAAAGTAAGTAAATTAAGTCCATTGATAAAATCAGCATCTGTACGAAACAAGAAGAATCAAGCACGAACAGAAAGGGATACCAGTTCGCTTGAGTCAGATTCCTTCAACAAAGATGCATCCCCAGTGACGAAGAAAAGAGCTGCAGTTGAAGTCTCCAAACCTAAATCAGCCAAACAAAGGAAGAAAAGCCCCAAATCTGAATCTTCGCCACAATCAAAAGCAACAGTATTGTCTAATCAACAAAAGCTAAAGAGAAGTGCAAAAGGCCGTACTCTATCACCAGATGTTGAGTTTTCAACATCAGATTCAGGATCCGGTAAAGTGAAACCACACAGAAATACACCACTTCGTAAAACTTCGCCTAAGATGATCAAACCACATGAAGATTCAAGTTCTGAAATTAGTCAAGAGTCAGAAGTGGATGAATCATATAGACGCGCAAACTCTAGTAAAGCAAGATCAAGATTTACGGAAAGCATGCCCATATTGGAAGAGGCTGTATCAAACAGACGTTCACATAGTCAGCGTAATCAAGGATGCTAAGTTGGATACAGAAGAAGACAATGTGAAATCTAGAGGCAGGAAAAAGGTATAGCAGATCGAAATCTCTATCTCCCTCGGCTGATCTGCCAGGAAGAAGTGGAGGAAGAAACTAATGTGATATCAGGAAGTAGGGAAAAGTATGACAGATCCAAATCTCTGTCTCCATCAGTTGATCTTTCGGAAGATGAAGAGGAAGAAGACAATGTGAAATCTAAAGTTAAGCAAAAGTATGGCAGATCCAAATCTTTGTCACCATCTGGTGATCTGGAAGATGGAGAAGAAGAAGACACTGAGAAACCAATAGGGCGTGAAAGATATCACAGATCAGTCTCTAGGTCTCCTGCTGGTCAGGAGGAAGAAGAAGAGGAAGAACAACAGAGGATGAAGTCAACAGACATCGATGTCAGGACATTGCCTGGGGTTCCAGTAGCCACCTCAGGTGGTGAGGCTACAAATGATAGTGACTTTGATGCATCGTCGGTGAACACATCGCTGCAGCTGGAGATGGAGGATACGGAGGTCACGCCTCGAGGTGCCAGACATGCGTCAGTGATGACTGGGAGTCTGTGGAAAGGAAAGAAGATATCAGCACTGACAAAACGAGGAATGACGTCTCGTAAACTCGTAAAGACTACACGGTCAAGAGAAGAAGATACGCCAGTAAGATATTCAGACCTTTGATCCTTATAATATTTGTTTGAAATATTACCAATGTCCAATTTTTGGCTTTTCTAACTACTGTGTCTGTTTCCTAGTAAAATGCATCAGAAAGATTAATGCTGTCAATAGATCTCTTAGATACTCACAAGGTGCGGTGGGATAGTCCTGTGGTTAATGTGTTCTCCCATCACAGTGAAGACCAGGGTTTGATCCTCCACATGTGTGAAGCCTGTATTTAGTGTCCATTGACATGATATTGCTGGAATATTTGCTAAAAGCAGTGTAAACATTCATAATGAATGCGATTATAATATATACTGAGTGAAAAAAATAAGGGATCACATGAAAGCACAAGTGTTCCTTTATTTCTTTCCAGGTTTCTTCACAAGCTTTGTATCGCATAACTTGTGAAGAAAACCTGGAAACAAATAAAGGAATACTTGTGCTTTCATCTGATCCCATTTTGTTTTCACTCAGTATATATTGAACATTTTTGGGGGTGTCCCAGCCACTTGCCGTATATTTTAGTCAAAATACTTATAATGAACTACAGTTACATCAAACTAAAATTAGAGGTCACTTTGAGTTCATTATAACAGTAGATTACCGTACATTTCTTCGAATATAGTTATTTTTGGATGTTAAAAATATAATAGTTAATCATATTGGGATTATGGCACGGTTTCCTTGTTCATGGTGTGCCTGGTCCAGTGATCATTTATGTCCAGCCATGATTAAGCTGAGATATGGATTTTTATGATGTGTAATTACAAACTGTAAACTATGGGTTCTCTACTTCCCACCCAGGGCTTTGTTTCCACATCTCCATCACCTGCCAAGAAGAAGACTCAGACCAAAGACCAAAGAAAACCATCAACTTCACAAGCGTCTCGCAAGTCTCGCCCTGTGAAAAGGAAGAAGGCATCAAGACAGAACATGGACGATGATGACGAGGAGGAGGAAAGGTCACGAGGTCAGCAGAGAGACGTGTCCATGGTTATTGTTACCCTGATATTGTTACTCATTCTGGACTGAAGGTCAAGTGGGCTTGTTTTCTGGTGTGTTGTCTGTCCATCTGTTGTTGTGTTGTCTGTCCATCTGTTGTTGTGTTGTCTGTCCATCTGTTGTTGTGTTGTCTGTCCATCTGTATAGTGTTGTCTGTCCATTTGTTGTTGTCTGTCCATCTGTTGTTGTGTTGTCTGTCCATCTGTTGTGTTGTTGTCTGTCCATCTGTTGTTGTGTTGTCTGTCCATCTGTTGTGGTGTTGTCTGTCCATCTGTTGTTGTGTTGTCTGTCCATCTGTTGTCTGTCCATCTGTTGTTGTGTTGTCTGTCCATCTGTTGTTGTGTTGTCTGTCCATCTGTTGTGTGTTGTCTGTCCATCTGTTGTTGTGTTGTCTGTCCATCTGTTGTTGTGTTGTCTGTCCATCTGTTGTTGTGTTGTCCATCTCTGTTGTGTGTTGTCTGTCCATCTGTTGTTGTGTTGTCTTCCATCCATTGTTGTGTCCATCTGTTGTTGTGTTGTCTGTCCATCCCATGTTGTGTTGTGTTGTCTGTCCATTGTGTTGTCTGTCCATCTGTTGTTGTGTTTGTCTGTCCATCTGTTGTTGTTTGTCTGTCCATCTGTTGTTGTGTTGTCTGTCCATCTGTTGTGTCCATTTGTTGTGTTGTCTGTCCATCTGTTGTGTCTGTCCATGTTGTCTGTCCATCTGTTGTGTGTTGTCTGTCCATCTGTCCATCTGTTGTGTTGTCTGTCCATCTATCCATCTGTCCATCTGTTGTTGTCCATCTGTTGTTGTCTGTCCATCTGTTTGTGTGTTGTCTGTCCATCTGTTGTCTGTTGTCTGTCCATCTGTTGTGGTGTGTTGTCTGTCCATCTGTTGTCTGTCTGTCCATCTGTTGTGTGTTGTCTGTCCATCTGTTGTTGTGTTGTCTGTCCATCTGTTGTTGTGTTGTCTGTCCATCTGTTGTTGTGTTGTCTGTCCATCTGTTGTGTTGTCTGTCAATCTGTTGTCTGTCCATCTGTTGTTGTGTTGTCTGTCCATCTGTTGTTGTGTTGTCTGTCCATCTGTTGTTGTGTTGTCTGTCCATCTGTATCCATCTGTTGTTGTGTTGTCTGTCCATCTGTTGTTGTGTTGTCTGTCCATCTGTTGTTGTGTTGTCTGTCCATCTGTTGTCTGTCCATCTGTTGTTGTGTTGTCTGTCCATATCTGTGGTGTGTTGTCTGTCCATCTGTTGTGTGTTGTCTGTCCATCTGTTGTCTGTCCATCTGTTGTGTGTGTTGTCTGTCCATCTGTGGTGTGTTGTCTGTCCATCTCTTGTGGTGTGTTGTCTGTCCATCTGTAGTCTGTTGTCTGTCCATATCTTGTGGTCTCTTGTCTGTCCATCTGTTGTAGTCTGTCCATCTGTATAGTGTTGTCTGTCCATCTGTTGTGGTCTGTTGTCTGTCCATCTGTTGTAGTCTGTTGTCAGTCCATCTGTATTCTGTCCATCTGTATAGTGTTGTCTGTCCATCTGTTGTAGTCTGTTGTCTGTTCATCTGTTGTAGTCTGTTGTCTGTCCATCTGTTGTAGTCTGTTGTCTGTCCATCTGTTGTCTGTCCATCTGTATAGTGTTGTCTGTCCATCTGTTGTCTGTCTATCTGTTGTGGTTGTGTTGTCTGTCCATCTGTTGTCTGTCCATCTGTTGTGGTTGTGTTGTCTGTCCATCTGTTGTCTGTCCATCTGTTGTGGTTGTGTTCTGTCCATCTCTTGTTCAATCCCCAACGGTGTGATAACTAAAGACATTAAACAATGGTACTTAGTGTTGCTCAGCTTGATGCTCCAGGGTACTGATTAACTCAAAATAATGTCTGGGTATCCATCTTGTGAAAATAACTAATTACAATTATAACTTATAACTAACTTATTCCAAATATTCCAAATTGCTTCTATATGCCAATACAGTGCCAATACCACTCAACACGTGTACGACAAGGTAACAGTTTAACTGTTACACATACAGATTCCATTCACATATGTATTCCTGTATGGACCATGCATTTTTATTAAGTGTCTTCTCCGTTTAGTGCAACTTGTCATTACGCATTAAAAGTTCACAGTGATGTTAGTGCAGGGGTGGAAATAACCCATTGCCTGACGTCCCAGTCCAGTGTTTTTTTCTGTCGGGCAAGCAAATTTGTATATCACTCTGTACCGGTGTCCAGTTGACTTTCCAATGTTAATTATGTTGTTTATTTATAAAATCCGGTATAGTAGTGGAAAAATTATCAGGGCAAGTGATTTTACATGTGTCCCTGTACTAGAGTACACTAGAAATTGTAAAGTTATTTCCACTCATGAATTATGTGACAGGTCGGTCGGTGTCGGTGTGGAGCACGTATGACCTGCCACGGAAAGGGAAGGACGTCATGGATCTGGACATTGTCCTGGAGTGTGTGCGCACCACGGAGCGAGATATGTTGTGAGTTCATGCACTCAACAGACAACAGGACACATCTTTCTACCCAACACATTAGGAGACATCTTTCTGCCACACATCTACACTGTATGCCTGTTTCATCTATAACCCATAAAGGTCCAGGTTAGAGTAATCCATGCTTGTCGTAAGAGGGTTTTCAGGCTCGCTGACTTGGTTAACACATGTCATCGTATCCCAAATGCGCAGATTGATGCTCATGCTGTTGGTCACTAGATTGTCTTGCCAAGATTCAATCATTTACAGACCGCCGCCATGCTGAGTGCGGTGTAAAGCTAAACTCACTCACTCACTCACTCACTCACTGTTACATTTTTTAGCTATTTCCTTTGTTTGTCTTAGCCGTATGTGACCCCTTCGTATTTCTTCAGGGCTGATGCTGACTCCCGAACTTGTGACAAGGCCACACAGAAAGTGGCTGCTTACATCAGGAAAGAAGTCCATAAGTCAGTAAGTAGCTTCCTCAGTACCTCACTCTTTACCTCCCCTGACCTTCAAGGGGAACATACTGTCTCTCTGCGGAGTACTCGTAATGTATAACCAGTGAATTAAGCCATGGGCTGGTTCCACTGTGAGGAAATAGAGAGTGAGAGAGTTTGGTTTTGTGCTGGTTTTAGCAATATTCCAGCAATATCACAGAAGGGGACACCAGAAATAGTCTTGACACATTGTACCCATGTGGGGATACAAACCCAGGTCTCCATTGCGGGCTGAAGTAACATCATTCAAATGGCAATATTTCTCCTGCAAAATGTGCCACACCATCAGTGCAGTCTATAGTCCGTTTGGCTCAAAAGCGAACCGATGAATTGCAATCTAACTTCGAAAACTAATAAACATAAAATACTCAGTGAAACACTGATCATAATCAAAACCTCAGACCAACTCTGTGAGGTTTATGCAGAATTTATGTCTTAAAAATAAAAAAGTTGTTTAACAAACTTTCATTAAAATATCGACACAGTTCACTATTTGTTACGAGGGAGGAGTGCAGAGAAAGGGACAGCCAGGTGTGTGAGAAAGGATGGAGACGGGACAGCACAGGTTAATGAATCAATAGTGTTGTCGGCATTTGCTTCTCTAACACCTGGCAGGGGGCGATGGGGTAGCCTAATGGTTAAAGCTTTGGCTCGTCACGCCGAAGACCCAGGTTCGAATCCCCACATGGGTACAATGTGTGAAGCCCATTTCTGGTGTCCCCGCCGTGATGTTGCTGGAACATTGCTAAAAGCGGCTTAAAACCAAACTCAGTCAGTCAGTCTAACACCTGGCTGTCCCTTTCTCTGCACTCCTCCCTCGTAACAAATAGTGAACTGTGTCAAATTTTTAATGATAGTTTGTTAAACAACTTTTTTAATTTTAGAACATAAATTCTGCAAACAAATCACAGAGTTGGTCTAATGTTTTGATTATGATTAGCGTTTCATTGAGTATTTTATGTTTATTAGTTTTCGAGTTAGATTGCAATTCATCGGTCCGCTTTTGAGCCAAACGGACTATACTCTGTGTACTACGTCAATATCAGGCAGTTGTTCTCATTGTTCTCTTCTTTCGAATGTTAGCGGGTGAGCTTAGTTTTACGCCACTTTTAGCAATATTTCAGCAATATCACATCAGGGGATGCCAGAAAAGGGCTTCACACATAGTACCCATGTGGGGAATCGAACCCCAGTTTTCGGCATGACAAGCGAACGCTTAAACCACCAGGCTACTCCACCGACCCTGATAAGTGTTATGATACATTGAACTGTCCGTGTTATACAACTGCTTGCTCTATAATAGGGATAGAAATGAATAGGGCACAAGTCAGAAAAAGTTAGGTGTGCCTTTGTGAAAATAAGCGTATCCATACCTTTTGATGATCCAGTTAAACTTAAAATATCACAACAATTATGTCATTCAACTTATTGTTAATATATTTGTAAACAACATGTAACAGACCCGTGAAGCACCGGGTTAGAATTGATCTTTCAGTAACTCATGCTTGTCGTAAGAGGCGACTGACAAGATTGGGTCGTCAGGCTCTCTGACTTGTTTGACACACATCATCATATTCCAATTGGATAGATCGATGCTCATGCTGCTGATCACCGGTTTGTCTGGTCCAGACCCCATTATGTACAGATTGCCGTGATATAGCTGGAATATTGCTGAGTGCCGCATAAAACTAAACTCACACACTCACTGACTCACATGTAACACCTGTAAACTTGAGAGGTGGATTTCACGAACACTATCACAGGGCTCAATTTAGTGCTTTGTTACTTGCACTGGTGCAACCCAATATTACAAAATGCAGCCTAGTTATTTGTCTAAATTGCACCAGGTGCAAGTAAATTTTTGAGTGAGTAAACTTCTGAATAAAACATCTACATAATTCAATAGCATATTTTTGATATTGCATATTGCATTAAAAACAGTGCAACTGGAATTTGACTGGTGCAAGTGGGTTAACATCGAGCCCTGCTATCATGACTGCAAGAATAGTTAATCTTTATTTGTCCTGAACTCATTACCTAATACCAAAACTATGTTATCATCCAAAACAGGATTTCCTTGTCATGCACACAGTCATTCAATTTGTCCATAAGCTGTGAAACTGAAAGTGCCACAGATAAATAGTTTGATGGGGTGCATACATACGTTCTGAATCATTTGAATCGATCATATATATTACATTTTTCATTAAATGGATCACGGTGAGGAATATTATAAGTTGTTCACTGGTCACGAGGGGGACATGGCCTGATGTACCCTCAGGCAACATAAACAAACATAGAGGGTACATCAACCCATCGCCCCCGAGGGACCAGTGAACAATGTATTTATCTTACCAAACTCCTCAATGTTAATTTTGAACTGTTTGAAGCACGGGTATTGGATCATAATAAGGAGTACCAGAGTTAGGCAACAGCCCAAACACTACTAACACGAAGTACTAAACAAATTCCCACAGTTCGGCATTTCCAGCGGGTAACATAGAAAATATGACTTGCTTGTAAGCACGGTATATTGATTAACTTAGCCAATCATAAAATGACATTTATGTGTGAGGTAAGATAATTGTATATGGTATGTACCACTAGGGCTTCCACGGGTACTCGAGTACTCGAGGACGAGTCGGTGTAGCTGGACTCGAGTCCATTTTCAAGGACTTGAGGACTCGAAAAGGGGAGATAACTCGAATTATTGACGTTGACGGACTGTCTGCCATGTGCTAAGCATGAGCGGCCGTTAACGTCTAATATTAAGAAAAAGATATAACTTTATTATCCCGGAGGAAATTCTCATACATCCAAACTGTCTCAAAATAAATATATACACAGTTCACAAAAATATACACAATAATTACATGCTCAAAACGAATGCTATTTACAAATAAAACTGACATGATATAATACACTTAACCACATAGGTAAAGAGGCTGAATAATTCTAGTTCTAATCACATGATGGTGATTCAAAATATTTGTTGCATTCACGAATACTTGATGGTATGAAAGACTGTCGCACTCTGTTTTGAGGGAAGGTAATCTACAGCAGCGTCCAGAAGGAAGTAGTTCAAAATGGTGAGATCAAATATGTCAACTGTCAAATCTAATTTTAGCTGCTTTTTGACTATACTCGAAATACACTCCAGAAATTTTGCAAGCAGTATTAACAATTTTGAAAAGTCTGTTTTTGTTAAGATGAGACAGATCCCCATACCAACATAGAAAATTGTAGGTCAACACACTTTGAATAAAGGTTTGATAAAAAACTGTCATTACGGTTTTGTCAATACCTTGACGATAATAATGTTCAGAATCAGAAATTAGGCCATTAACAGTGGCGTCATCTGCAAATTTCACAGTAAACAAGTCATATATTGACAAGTAACAGTCATTGGTATACAAAACGAAGAGTACGGATGAAGGAACACAGCCATGTGGATCTCCAGTAGAGGTTGAGAGAAAAGAAGATTGATAGCCATTGACACTGACATACTGAGTTCTATGTACCCTGAATTCTTTAAGCCATCTGATAATGTTTTTATTAACACCTAGATTAAATAGTGTACTCCTCACACGGTGTGGCTGTATGGTATTAGTTGTTACAAGTCTGCAGATGAGAGTAAATATTATACATCGACTGAGATTTCACTTCTTAAAATGATTAGGTAACTATCTTGACAATTGATCGTTTGCTTGAAAGGTATGAATTTCGAGTACTTCGGGTCCGAGTCGAGTCTCACCCCTCGAGTACTCGAGTCCCAAAAAATGGACTCGTTGAAGCCCTATGTACCACTATACCGCCATTCAAACCAGTGAAGTTTTGACAGTGGTAGACCAGAAACTCAGAAGTAATTGGGCTATTGTCAATTATTTTGCATCCGCTAAAAATTGCATCCAGATTAGAAAGCCTTGAACCACTAAGACAAAAGTTGTGGTTCTGATGTTGAAGTTTTGTCTTTGTCTCTTCTTCAGATATCACTTGCTCAGCAGATAAAACAGAGGCAGAGGCAGAGTAAAAAGGTGAGATGTTTTGTGGGTTTATGCCACCCTCAACAATGTGAGATATGTCAAATAATCAAGTCAGGACCAGACAACACAAGGACAGGTGTCTACTAAATCAGCCAAATTATGGATCGTCACATCAACCAAGTTACCAAGTCCGGCGATGTTACCTATAACATCACCTCTTGTACAACAAGCTTGGTTACTTTGTTGTTAAACACCGCACTCAGCAATATTCCAGCTATGTGGTGGCGGTCTGTTAATGATCAAGCCTGGACCAGATAATCCAGGGATCAACATCATCAGCATTGTTCTACACAATTGGGATATGATGACATGTGTAAACCAAGTCAGCGAGCCTTACCACTTGATCCCATCAGTCGCCTCTTACAACACACATGGGTTACTGAAGGCCAGTTCTGACCCAGATCTTCATGGGTCCTAACAACAGAGCACTGGTTCCATCCATGGGTTGACAAGATTTATTAAAGAGCAATGCTTAAGGTGGAGTTATGTCCCTTAGATGTCTGAATGTCATGCAGTGGACTTGATTCCCTATGTTTATGATAATTATTGGCATGTATGCATCTCATGTCCTTGTCAAGTTCACTAAAGTGTAGGGGTGAAACGGTACGCTCTTACCATGGTATGGTACGTATAGCGGTACAAGGCCTTCGCTTCAGTCCATTTCGGTTCGGTATATGAGATATAATCATAATGCAGAAAATTGACAAGAGCCAACCCTTACATTGTTTGATAACATTGGAAACAATAACCATAATCTTTGTTATTTTGAATGAACAAATCTGTCATTTTATGACTTGATAGAAATTACGGTACATAAACCTAAAATACCGAATTTTTGGATTGCATTCGATATACCGAACCAAAGGCAAAATACCGCCGTTCTACTAATACCACGGTTTACCGTTTCACCTCTAGTAAAGTGTCAAGCATTTACATGGATCGCTCTTGGCTTTTCCCCTACATAAAGTAAAGGATAAAAGATAATGTCTTGGTTGGCTGAGAAACCCAAGGGTAACATGGATCCAGAAAGTAAACTTATGGCTTAGGCCTGAAGTTTCTAGAGCCCTGCTACAACTGAGTATGTATGTTTCATCGACTGACAAATAACAGTCAGGGTGCCGTTGTACAGAACAACCTTAGCACTAAGGTGATCATAAATCCCATACCTCGACATAGACTTACAACAGTCTTAGCGCCAAGGTTATTTTGTACAGCAGCACCCAGAAATGTCTGAATAAGCTGAGAGGTAATGTCAAGTATCATGCATATAACTCATTCTTTTTTCCGCAGGCTCAAACAAGAGTGAAGAACATGCGTGTCGACCTGCAAGAAAAACAAAAAGACAAACTCAAGTGAGTTTCTTATTGCTAATTACCATCATCATATCATTTTTAAGTGTTTCACTGAACAATTTGTACAAGTGACAGATTTTATGTTTCAAGAGTGAGACCAGTGCTTGTGTTGTTCCTTCAACAGTGTTAATACCAGGCACCAGGCAGGGTAACAACAAGTACCATCTTGTTTAGTGGCCGCAGACCAAACCAACCTTTGTTGTTCTAGGCAGATGCTCTATCTGCTAGATCATGGTGGCCCTCCTATATCGTGGTGGCGGTGAGGTAGCCTAGTGGCTAAAACGTTTGCTTGTCACGCCTAAGACCCGGCTTTGAATCCCTACATGGGTACTAAGTGTGAAACCCATTTCTGGTGTCCCACCATGATATTACAGGAATATTACTAAAAGTGGCGTAAAACCTCACGCACTCATTCACTCACTCATTTCTCTTTCTGTCTTTAAGTTTTTCTTTCCTAGGTACCTGTAGCACCAAAGGTATAAATCTTGTCACTTATCCCTGCAGACTGACCTCCAGGCTGAAGAAACTGCAAGCTGCCAGTGGAATAGATGAGGATCTGATCAACATCAACAGCTGGCTGGATGACTCGGAGAAACTCATGAGGGAATGGGACAAGTCCAAGGCTGGACAGGCTAAACCTCAGGTAGGTCGAGACTCGAGAGGGCAATAGGTCAGGGTGTTAGTTTCTTTGTTAAGAGTGAGTGAGTGAGTTTGGTTATACGCCACACAATATTCTAGCTATGTGGCGGCGGTATGCAAGTAATGGAATCCAGTGATTAACAGCATGAGCATCGATCTACAAATATGAGATGTGATGACACGTGTCAACCAAGTCAGTGAGCCTGACCATCCGATCCCATTACTCGCTTCTTGGGACAATCAAAAGGCATGGTAATGGTGTCATTCTTGGAATAATCCACAGGTTAGGCATTGGTGTCTACTACTCGATCCCGTTGGTCACCTATTACAACAAGCATGTGTTGCTGAAGACCAATTCTAACCCAGATGTTCACATGTATACACCCTATGTGTGAGAAGTCTACCAAATCCACACTATAAGCCAGTGTACACAGAGTATGTAACAGCTTTGAAACGTCCCAGGTGAAAACTGATTGATGCCTAATATGCAGTTGTAACTGAAGTCCACTTTCAGTACGTGTTTCAAATCCATTATTGCCAAAGCGTGAATAGCAGCTGTTCAGTCAAGTAGACTAATTCCCACATGATTGATTTATTGTGAATTGTCTGCTTTCATAGTTCCCTTAGGTTTAAGTGTTCAGGATATGTACCAAGAAGTGGTCATTTTTCATAGCCATTGTAGACCTGTGAAGGTCCGGGTTCGAATATTGGCCTTCAGTAACCCATGCTTGTCGTAAGAGGCGACTAACGGGATTGGGTGGTCAGGCTTGCTGACTTGGTTCACACATGCCATCGTTTCCCAATTACGCAGATCGATGCTCATGCTGTTGATCACTGGATTGTCTGGTCCATACTTGATTATTTACAGACCGCCGCCATATAACTGGAATATTGCTGAGTGTGGCATAAAACTAAACTCACTCACTCATAGCCATTGTAAGAATTTTAAGTTTTCATGAGAATGAGAAAACCACATGGCACATTCAGTTGTAGACCAAAAATGCATGTTATTTGAAATTTTAGAATTACCCTTACTAGTTATGACATAATTGGTGACAATTGGTCCCACAAAAGATATCCCAGGGTTTTACCTTGACTTACAGAAGTGAGGGTCCAGGGGACCTTCATCAATAAATTTTACGGGTCCTTCCCAGTGTAGCAGGCCATTTCTTCCCGGTCTAAACTTTCCCCAGGGAGAATCTGGCCTAGGCCAAACTTTCCCCGGGGAGGTTTTGTCCTAGGATATTCTTACCCCAGGGAAAGTTTGGGCTAGGCTAAAGTTTCCCCCCCTAGGCCAAACCTTTTCCCCTGTTGAAACTAGGATATTTTGTTCTGTTTGCTATGAAAAGTGGGGAGATTCTGGCGTAGCTAGGTCATTTCTTCTCCACCCTTGTTCTCATATCAAAAGGGCTACTTCTTCCCCACCCCACATGGAGATTCTGGCCTACCTAGGCTACTTCTTCCCCACCCTTGCTTTTATATCAAAAGGGGGAGGTTCTGGCCTACCTAGGCTACTTCTTCCCCACCATTGCTCTTATAAACCAACTGTAGGTTTGACTTTTATTTTGGTACACATTTTGCTAAATAGTCCATTTTTGCCTCTGACTTGGGTGTAGTGATTTGAATGCATACATGTTTGAATGGCATATATCTCTAAATCCATCCTGCTCCTGCCACCAATCCTATCCTATGAAGACACGTTGCATTAGTTCTTCATCTGTCCACCATAAGATGTAAACATTCAATCGCACATTTGATGGGTAAATAAGATGTAATATACACAGGTTGCTTGCTCTCTTATCATGCTGTTTATTATCTAATATTTGTTGTATTTATGTATAACTGTAATGGAACATTATTCACATAAACTTGTTTACTAATCCATGATCACTTTTGGTGAATGAAATATGATTCAGATATCCATGGGCCAAGTACACTGTATATCCCTTATGAAACCTTGTCTTTTGAATAGAGAATAAGGCAATATAGTTGAATGATAGATGATACAGCATTTCATACAGATATTGTGTTGGGTTGTTGTTGTTGTGTTGATGTTTACATCTGCTTCCAACTGTTAAGTTGATGTCGCCGACATGGATGCCATATTTAAAGCCATGAGTGAGGGAATAAAATTTCTAATGGATATGGACATCCAAGTTTAAAACTGGGTATTTAGTTAAAGTTTCAAATATAGTATTGATTTTGACATAAGCCAATTTTGAGTAAATGGGGATAAGTAAATTATTGAAATCTAAAAATAAGTAAATGATAATATAAAACAATAGTAATAATATAATATCTTTGCTTTTATGCTTGCTTTTCCTTTTAATCTCACCTTATAGAAGGGTATTGAAATAAAATGGGAACCATGTACATGTTATATATGAAAATGAAGATGACCTGTAAATTGTTAATAAAACTTGACATCAACAGGAATATTTTATCAATGTGTTCACATGAATAGCTGTCTTGTTTTCGTTTCTGACTTTTTCAAGACGAACATAAACATGAAAACAAGGTTGGGGAAGAAATAGCCCAGCTAGGCCAGAATATCCCCCTTTTAATATAAGAACAAGGATGGGAAACAAGTAGCCTTTAAAGTTGATTCAAGGGTGGGGAAAGTTTGGCCTGGGACAAACATTCCCAAAGGCTTGGGGGTGGGGTTTGGCCTAAGGTTTGGCCAGGGGGAAAGTTTGGCCTGTTACACCGGTAATATTAGGGTCCTGTATAGTATTGAAATGGTGTTGTGTAGTGTATGTTCAGATAATGACTTCAGAGCCTGGAATGAATCAGTGATCATGTGAACAGTGTACATGACTGATGGTGAAATAACACACACAGATCACCGCTGTTGATGTGCTGTAGGTATTTTTGTGCATCACTCGGGATGCGGTATTTGGAGTTTTCTCTAATTCTATAGTTTTGTGTACTGGATGCACATTTCTGCATCACGTTAAACCCTGTATCCATAGTGAAATTAATGGCATTAAAAATTATGTTAAAGATATGCAAAATCTGCATTATAATTGAAACTACAGGATATAGATTGATAGTGCATGCTTTCATTCATAACCCTTCACCTCAAGGAAAATACCCAATATGTGCAGCAATGCCTATAAGTGATGCCACTACAAGTGACTTTCTCAAAATAGTGTGTTTTTACTGACAGAGTACACAGGATTTTACTAGGGAACTGACAACTTATGAATAAATGTGTTGTGCAAGTAATCTGAAACATTCTGAAAGCCTGTATTTTGTTATTTGTTTTTGGTGTTAGCAAGAAATACTCATAAATAAGTAGTGAGTGTCTGAAAGAAGTTGATGAATGTTTCTCTAAAAATAGAAGGAAATGTGACGCATAAACAATCTGAATTTACCTTTAAAACGAGCATTTTTCTTAGCACAGCGTTTATTTTCACACCTTTTTAATTTCTCTGTATATCCCTCAGTCACTTTTCATTGGTGACAAAGACCCTTTGTCATTTGGTTGTAAAATGTGTGAGGATTTCAGGTATGTCAGGGATCCAAATAGTGCATAATTTGCATGCCATGGCACGGATGAAATATTTTCATGACAAAACTACCAAAAAAATACTCACTATGATTCATTTTAATGGCAAATGCCAATCCAAATGTTTATCGGTGACATTCTCAATCTCACAGCTTAACATGGCCATTTTGAATGCCAGTGTGGATAACAGGACATCCTGTTTTGGATGATAACATAGTTTGTGGGTTAGTTCATGGGCCCGGGACAAATCAAGATGAACTATTCTGGCAGTCTTGATAGTGTTTAGGAAATTCAGCCCTCAAGTTCACAGGTTTACATGATGTTTACTCATTAATTCAACAATAAACTGAAATGACAATTGTTGTGTTGTTAAGTTTAAATGGATCATCAAAAGGTATAGGCACACTTATTTTCACAAAGGTACACCTAAACTATCTGTCTGGTACCCTTTGGCACCCTTCAGAAACATTGCATTTCTATCCCTGGATTTATCTGTCACAACTGATTTTGAAATATATGCGATACATGTGATGTAATAGGTGTCTATAAAACATGATCTTGTAAACACAATCCAATATGGTGGAAAGTTCACTATGACGTTTGTGTTTGTATGTGTTTTCCAAGACATTTCAAACTATTCTTTGGTTATCAGCAGTGTTTCAGAATGATAACTTGTGATCTTTCAGTTCTTTTGTTTGAAATTCAATTCTGTTTCATACGTATGTTTCAAATTATACACTAAATAAAACCATGAACGGTAATTAAGTTGTGTTTGATGTACCTTATTTTCAGTAATTTTGCTTTGCCTACAATAACAGTGGATGAAATCACCCAACAGTAAATTGTGTCTGCAATGTATTTATAACTTTTATTCGACATCAAAGTGAGGGTTGTAGAGAACAGACACATATGGTACTGTGGCATCAAGAGAATTATAACAGTAGACGCATGAATCACACGTCTGAACTTGCACCACGTAAAACCCGTCTAGATGACTTCATTCCTTGATCAACTGACTGGCATGACATAGCGCAGGGGAGATGAGCCATAGTTTGTTATGGAACTAGAACTTTTTATGAATGTGAAAAATATGACTTAATTTAATGCCAAGATTTATGTTGGTTATTTGTGATATGTGTGTTGTTTTGGCAATGTTAGTATCATGAAATATTTTTTATGTTGATAAAGTTAAAGAAAGATAGTTTTATTTTCGTGTGTACTTGCCCCTAATGACACTGTTCCAATCCAATTCAACCCACCCACTCACTCACTGACTCTTATTGAGATTTGGGGCATTCGTACTGAATGGTTAATGTAAAATTATATCTGCTACATATTTATAATATTGTTCATCAAAACAAAACACTAAGCACATTTGATCAAGTTCACAGAGTGATTTCATGGTTCTTGGAATGTTGCACCACCAACCCCTTTTTTCCATTGTTACCAGCAATTCATGATTTGTTGTAATATTAATTCCTTTTCGTTGAATATGTTACTTATATGCAGTTTGGAGGATTTACCATTGAATCTATAACTAGTACCTTCACCAACTCTTAACTTACCGTACATGAATGTTGGTGTATAAGTCAACCATGAAGGTCCGGGTTAGAACTGGTCTTCAGTAACCCATGCTTGTCGTAAGAGGCGACTAATGGAATCGGGGTGGTCAGATTCGCTGACCTGGTTGACACATGTCATCGTATCCCAAATGTGTAGATCGATGCTCATGCCATTGATCACTGGATTGCCTTGTCCAGACTGGAATATTTACAGACTGCCGCCATATTGCTGGAATATTGCTGAGTGCGGTGTAAACTTAAACTCACTCACTCACTCACAAGTGTGTAAGAGCAGTCAATTTGAATGCAATGTTGTAGGGCTGGCTATCGATAGAGATCAATTATCATTAACTTAGTATCGATTGATTATCAAACATATGTTATGTGTGGGAGTACACTTTCTCAGTAAAGTACAGATTCTAGTACTTCTGTTGCATTGAGTCTAATATGGGATTCAAACCCAAACTTTCAGAGTCAAGCACCTAATCGCCAGCACACAAAGTCAGCAGCCTAACCCACTCAGCCACCGCAGATTCCACTTTCGGTTTCAGATTGACTATCGATAAATAGCAGAATGATAAATTTGAGGTAAAATACAAACAAGGCGGAAAGGAAGTGCGATATTTCATGTTACTGGCCAGTGGTGATATTTATACATGGATTACTAACAAAAACAGTATTCAGGCGCGTAGCAAGCCAATTTGTTCGTGTAAGCCCGATAGGTTGCGAAGCTTTACATTGGGATAGTACTGAGGGCTTGCCCAACCTTTTTAGCAATAATCATGTGTAAGCCCCGGGCTTTTTTTCATAATGGTAGCTAGGCCCCAGGTATTCTCAAAATAGTTTAGAAACATCTGAATTAAGATGTCAGTTTGTTTAATGTGTTTGTAAATTAAAACTATATTTTATCACCATAGTCCATGTCAGATAAAACCGATGACACAATTTTCATATCAATGATCATAGAATATTTCACACCATTAATGATATTTCTGATCATCAATCTGTTTAGCCAGCACTGCAGTGTTGAGCTCTTATTTCAGCTCATCTCATCATTTCCATGTAATACGTTTGATGTTCAAAAACTATATCACTCCCATGCCTTTATTCACTAGATTAAGTAGGAAAACCTTTGTTTTAAGTCTTAAGGGAATTTTAAGACATATCTAACATTTCCATATCCGGTGTACGCCTAGAATAATGGAACTATGTATTGATTGTTTTAACCTCCAAACAGTCCATCCATGGCTGCTTGGATCTACTTGGTGCTGCCCATGTTGTGGTGTTAATTCACTCAGCTGTCTTCGTCCTAGAAACCATTGTGACAATAGATCTGGTGTATTTTCCGAAACTCATGAAGATCCAGGTTAGAATTGATCTTCAGTTACCCATGCTTGTTGTAAGAGATGACTAACAGGATTGGGTGGTCAGGCTCGCTGACTTTGTTGACAGCTGTCATCGTATCCCAAATGCGTAAATCGATGCTCATGCTGTTGATCACTGGATTCTCTGGTCCAGACTTGATTATTTACAGACCATATAGCTGGAATATTACTGAGTGTGGCATAAAACTAAACTCACTCACTCATTGTATTTTCCGATGGATTATCTGTGCAGAGGGAATTATTGTTCCAGTTTCGGGTAAAAATAAATCCATGGCAACATGATGGTTAAACAGCTGTCCATACTTTTTTCGTGTTTCCCTTCTCCTGACTGCCTTGAATTTTCCTTCCAAGGAAAACTGATAAAAAGTTTACTTTGGTCAAGTTGGTCTGCCACTGTGGACATTTTTGCCCTTATGTCATAGAAAATACTCTTTCCCTTGCTCACTCAATAATAATCAGGTCAGCTTAGTCTTTTTTCATGTACATTTATTGAAAACATTTCAAGGTATATAGTTATACCGTCTGTCAGAAAACATTTCGTTCAACCAATAGCTTGTAAGCTATTGAAAATCTCCTTTGTCTAAACTAAAGCAGTGCTTCAGCCAGGCAAGCGCCACTGCGCCATTGACACTACAAAACATGCAGTGGCACTTTTTTTCAATGCTAGAGCGTACCCATTGGCGCAACCTTTAAGATAATCCACAGGTCTCCTATACCATGGTTACCATGAATGGCAAAAGTCTCAACTGCACACACTGGCACACATTTTAGTGGTTAAGGTGCCAAATGGCAACACTCAAAAACATCCTGGCTGAAGCACTGCTAGGGCTGCAGTGCCAATTTTGATTATGATATTTTCATAATGGTCAAGAATTACAGCAATTCAAAAATGTGAACTTAAAAAAATTTGTTCAATTTTGGATTGGTTAGATGGTTTGTCTGTAGGAGAGGTGCAGTACTGAGTTATGTTTTATCTTTTTAATCAGTTGAGAATTAATTACTTATCTTGAACATGGGAAGAAGTCCCAAATGAAATTTGTTCAACCAATAACTTAATGATCATTTAATGGATTGTTTTCAGATTTGATTGTGGCATTTTGTTTATGGGAAAGGTGCAGTGCGAAGTTGGATACAGATGTTGTATTTGTATCAAGAATCATTATTATCTGATGTACGGCTGAAGTTGGGAGTAACAGCCGTAGGTATTAGGGAGCCTTGTTCATATCTATTTGGCTTGTTTCAATTATACATTCATATGATGACACACCTCTATTGGCCACCTTGCATTAAATGAAATCATTGAAGCAAATGGTGTGAATTAGCCGGTCAGATCAGGAAAAGAATATATATATAGCTTATTAAGAATTTTTGAAACAAAGAATTGTACCAATATATTCTCTTGGGTAATATCTCCATGTAATTAAGTAATTAGCTAATTTGAAATTTCTCATCCAATTTGCTGGATCCCACTACGTGTAAGAGCTAAACCAAATGGGTATTTGGTGGTCTCATGGTATGTGAGTGAGATAAGTTAGATGATCTCAGAATCCAGGGAAGGTCACCAGGTCAGATAGAGTTGCGCTCAGATGTTTGTAGTAGTATAGGGCCTGTAAGTCTCGGGAGGTTCTACTTCCGGTACTAAGCTGCTTCCTGGCTCCCATTGCACGCCAACTTGCGATATGCGAGACGGGGTCCAGCTTATTTCCGGTGACAATCGTATATTCAAGAACTAGTCCTGGTTTGCACGACCGCCAAATATGACTTTACTTGTCCGACCAAGTGTACGTTGTTTGTCACAGAGAGTACTAAGGTTTCACAAAGTGCCATGACCTACTTATGGGCCATATTCCATGCCCAGGACCAGCTTCCCTGTGAAGGCAAAGGTTTCAAATCATGCTTATTATGGAGACAACTATCAGGCTTGTGTGAGGATTCCTCCTTGATTAGTTGATGCATGTCATTATATCTCATTTGCACAAACAGATGCTCATGATGTCGGCCGAATGTTTTGGGAGGTCCATACTCAATTATTTATAGACCAGTTTTAAACATTTCTGCAAGTCTTTTAGTCTGTGCCTAGTACAATTCAGGAAGGACAGGCGAAATTTCCTTGTGGACTACAATGTTTTTCATTAGGTTAAAGGCATCTTAAGAATGACTCAATTATTTACTGACTGCAGTCATATATCTGGAATATTGCTGAGTGCACTGTAAAACTAAACTCACTCACTCACTCACTTACTTAAAGCTTGGACATTACTGAGTAAGTTGTTACACAACAAACAGAGCAACTCTTGTTAGGTGAGCTCCAGCGCTCCACAGATCCGCCTGCTCCATATCAGTTGACGCCATCTATAGAGCTGCAGCTACAATACCGATACAACTCAAACCTAACATCACAAACGCTTTGTTTAGTTGACATTTTATTGATAACAAGTATATCCTCAAATGAAAGGCGTATGACTTGCCGGAATGGGGGAGAAATTGATTCCCCCAAACGAGGACTGCAGCCAGGCAGCTGGTGCACAATCCTCCCAAGGGTATTGGGGGAATAAGACTTGCATGAATTATAAATCGGTAAAAAGACAACTGGCATCCACCCGACACCTTGCTACGCCAATTCGTATTTGCCAGGTCCCTCGTGTAATGCAAACAACAGGCGGCCTGACGCTAACTAGATTTGTAATGATTTGATGAGAAGCACTTCAACAATGCATTACGCTAATTGTATCTTAAATCATGCCTCGCTTATGAATTTATATAGAATGTACTGGGTTGTTAATATCAATGATGCTGAGGAGTTTTAAGGAATCATAATTGGGTTGATTGATTTGTATAAAAATAGTTGATAGAAAGTTTAGAAAAAAGTACATCCATGTCAGTGTCCAAACTGAAAGGACATGATGGGCTGTTACTATGGTATTTGACTCTGGGAACACCCTCAATTAGTGTTTGGAATCGGAAACCATATCCACTATCGATTATCGGAGGACTTGTGATGAACGATTATCGATTATATAGTCAAGTAGCTTATGGGATTCCGTGAAAGTTTTTTGATGAAAGCACATGATACATTCTTTTGTGTTTATATGTTAAAGGAGTTTAATAAAATGTTTGGTTCCAATCTGAATATTAATGCAAAAGCTATTTTTAGCTAAAAATTCAAGATGGCCACCAAAATTTAACCAAGAACTGAAAAAGTTGCAAAAACCTGGAACAAAACAATGGTTTTAATATCAAATGCCATGCATATTTGGTTAAGGAATATATTTCTCATATGCTGTAAGTCACCAGATCTTTTTAGGCTGATTTTAGTCTTAAATTTACATAAAAGAGTTATTTTTAGCTCTAAAAGTCATAATGATGAATAAAACCCCCATTTCTGCACAAAGCATGTATTTTATATAGAACTAGTACAATATGAAAAAGGAATATACTTCTAACCCTGTTTATCAACTACAGAAGAGGTCTTTACATGAAACTGCGACCCAGAAATATACTCTTCAAAAAAAGAAACGCATGAGCCATTTTTAGAAGAATTTCTTGCGTTAGTTTAAGAGCAATTATTTCATGTAATCCCAGTGGTAAAAAGGTGAAAATTCAAACGTCTGAAGACAAAGCTTTACTGTTGTGTTTCTGTTTACTTGAGTCCACAAGATGGCGTCAAAATCAGTACTTTGTATGGCCACCATTGGCAGCAATTACTACTCGACACCGTCTCGGCACAGACTGGATAAGTTGACAAAGTAGCTCCATTTTGACAGCAAGGATAACCATGACACTAAACGAATACTTAATCTTATTGAAGTCCACAACTCTGAACAACTTGTGTCAGAGGCAAGCCACAGAGGTGGACACACTCTGGACTGGATAGTTACCCGTGCTTCAGATGCGTGTGTCTGTTGTGTATCTGTATAGGATCTACAACTCTCTGACCATTTCCATATCTTTGTGAGCTTTGACCTCTCAATACCCAGTCCAAATGTGAAGATTACTCGCTGTAGGAACATGCGCTCCCTGGATATGGATACTTTTAAAGACAATTTGCTAAACTCAGACCTTATACTTGAGCCACCATCTGATGCTGAGAGTCTCGTTCTGCTATACAATAGAGTTCTATCTGAGCTGCTAGACAAACATGCACCAGTGAAGGACAGAGTCATACCAGTCACTAAAACATCTGCTTGGGACTTCACACCTGAAGTTCGGCAAGTTAAAAAAGACAAGAGGGAAGCAGAATGCAGATGGATATAAATCTCTCCTGGAGATTCATCGCCAAATGTACATTTCAGCCAGAAATCACTCAACAAAGGTCAACAGACAAATCAACTACTCAGTTCTAAGATTGAAGCCAAAGAGTCAAGTCCAAAGTTGCTGTTAAAACTTGTGTTCAGTATCTTGGGTAAACACTTTGAATGGATACTTCCGATATCTCATGACAATGAAGCAATAGCACAGACATTTTCGGATTATTTCTACAAAAAGATCCAAGGCATTCATGACAAGATTTCGTCTTCTGCAGCTGTGCATGAAGCTGATTTTCCTCCAAAAATGTTTGATGGCACGCCTCTCACTTATATTGATTGTTTCACTGACACTAAAGTTACTAAACTACTGAAATCTGCAAAAAGAACAACTTGTTCACTTGATCCGATTCCAACTGACCTTCTATATGACTGTCTCGACGTACTCTTACCAACATTAGTGCTGATTATTAACTCTTCTACTTCATCTGGTTATGTCCCAAGTGTACTCAAGTCAGCTGTAGTTAGGCCACATCTGAAGAAATCAAGCCTTGATTTTGAGGATCCAAAAAAGTACAGGCCTGTTTCAAACTTAGCGTTTATATCCAAGCTCATTGAACATGCAGTCTCCAGTCGTTTCATGGGCCACCTTTCCTGGCATAACCTCTGTGAAGTGTTCCAATCAGCCTACAGAGCACAGCACAGACACAGCTTTGCTGAAGATCCTGAATGACCTACGATGTGGTATTGACACAGGACAAGTGGCCCTGCTCACATTACTTGACCTCAGCAGTGCCTTTGACACGACTGATCACCAGAGACTCCTCAAAAGGCTTGATACAGAACTTGGATTCAGCGTTATCCTGGCTGACATCTTATCTACAGGACAGGACTCAAAGCGTTGTTGCTGGTGAGGCTATGTCAACCGTATCTAGGCTTGAGTGCGGAGTCCCTCAAGTATCCGTGCTTGGTCCGATCCTCTTCACCCTCTACTCTGTTCCACTTGGCTGTGTTGTAGCAGACCACAATCTTGACCACTTCTACGCAAATGACACGCAGCTGTGAAAGTTATTTCAACCAAACACAGAGTCAGCTAGAGCGTCTCTCCATCAGACATCAGACTGTTGCCAGAAGATATTCATGGATGTCATCAAATGCCTTGAAATTAAATTAAGAGAAAAGAGTCCATTCTTCTGGGACAGGCTGGAAAACGCAAGCAGTGTGACTTTACTAGTGTGTCTGTCCGTGGAGCAACCATTCCTCTTTCTTCCACTGTCAAGGATCTGGGTGTTGTCGTCGATCAAGATCTAAGTATGACAGAACACGTCAAGTATGTTACTAAAAGTTGCTACTTCCATCTCCACAATTTCAGCAAGGCCAGACCGTTCTTACCAAAGATGCCTCCAAAATTCTCTGCCTCAGCCTAGTCACATATCGTATGGACTACTGTAACAGCCTTATGGCCGGAACTCCAATCTTGTGTCACTGACCAACTCCAACGCATACAGAATTTAGCTGCTCGCATTACCTCCCCCGATCTCATGAAAACAGCACATCACACCAACTCTAAAGGACCTTCATTGGCTGCCCGTGAAACACAGAATCTCCTTCAAACTCCTCTGTCTCGCATACCAGTGCATGACTAACATAGCTCCAGTCTGTCTGTCAGATCTTCTTCAGGCTTATGCACCATCTAGATCTCTCAGATTAGGGAATCAACACCTTTTTGTTATCCCCAAAGTCAAACAAGCTAAGTATGGACACCGTGCCTTCTCCTATGCAGCTGATAAAAAAAGATTTCTCCCCACATTTATTTGTATATATTTTTTTCAAAGTTTATAACCATTTTAGAATGATCCGATCCTATGACTTGAAAATTATTTCAAGGGATTTAATTGAGAGAGTATGAAGCAGAAAATAGTGTTTTCTCCCCATCATTTCAATATATTCTTATCTATTTTCATAGAACTCTGCTTTTAGAAGAAAAACTTCAAACATATTGATAAGAAATTGATAAATCATGATCTGACATTGACCAACTACATTTTGAAGTAAGGACTGCTCCCTTACTGACAGTCTCACCAAACAGAAATAAACATCTTTTTTGTTTCATACATAACTTTTCTTTCACTTTTATTAATAACTTGATTTACATTGGTTTGATAAAATGAAGCAATCATATACTTACAAAATGCACAAAACCTACATCTGGTAAAATTCATCTGCTAGCTGACATTTTTGAGAGAGGGAGTGTTCATTATTTTTGTTAATTTAAAAAAATATATTTGGGGTTTTCTTTTAATAAAATATTTCATGAAATAGAGAAACACACTTGGATAAAGTTAATAACCTCAAACTTTAAATATTCAACTCTCCCATTATGACCTTTCCCATTATGAAACTTCTACAGGACTTGAATGCTGTACCCATCCTACCAGACTAATAATCGAAATATGTACATTTTTAATGTAATCACCAATTTTAAGTTTTTTTCCCCAGTTTTTTTCTGATTAATGTTAATGTAATTATTCTGTTTATTTATACAACAAATATTTATCAGAATTATTTTTAATCCTTCTTTCGATCAATTTTGATTATTTTCTATCATCGGTACACACCACTACCCTCAATATTGTATCTTTAGGGTTGTCTGAGTCTGAATCTAACGCAGCTTACTTGATTAAGACTGTAGGACAGACAGAAGCGCTGGTGATTGCTGACAGATGTTGATAGTAAAGAATTAGGAACAGAATAAATTGATGCATGTTTGATGATGCACCTATTGCCCATTACATCTGAGTAAAACAGGTGTGATGGTGTAAGTTGTGTTGTGAGAAGCTGATCACAGTAGAAAATATTTGTTTGTTTTGGTTTGTTTATTGTTACATGCCTCACCCAGCTATATGTAGGCGGTCTGTAAATAATCAAGTCTGTCAGACAATCCCGTGATCAACATCATGAACATCGATCTACGCAATTGGGATACGATGACATGTGTCAACCAAGTCAGAGAAATCTGACATCCAGTCTCATTATTCGCCTTTTATGACAAGCATGGGTTACTGAAGACCAATTCTAACACAGATCTTTAGGGGTCCAGTAGAAGATACGGGAAATTATACAGGCATTATACATTGAACCCAAATAGTCAGAGCTCCAGATAAGACTTAGCTCATGTGGGTACTGTACCCACTGTATTTTTTGGGAGTGGGTATTATGAATGTTGAGTGGGTATTTCATTTTCTGTTACCCACTGCTTTCAAATATGTGCGTATTTCAGTCATTTTACTCAAGTACTATGTCATTGAGTACGTTTACTAAAGGATGTATGTTCTGCCTTATGTCATATCTTATCAAAACCAACTTAAATATAATGGAAATGATTTCATAAAAAATCACTCATCTTATACTAACAGTACAACTTGATAGCAAGCGATTTTTATAAATATATTCAGTACTCATTTGTTTTAAACTTTTTGCGTATCTAACATTTTAAATGCATAATTGGTACGCAACAATTATTTTTCAATGCGTAATTGGAAATTTTCTATGCGTATTTTACCCGGATATGCAGCTTATCTGGGCCTCTGTCAAATAGGGAATTCTCTGGGGTGAGCAAACACTTTAACCTTACTGCTAGGACTTACTGAAGGTTATAATAAGTCATTAAGAATATTGTGTTTTGTATTTTCAGAAGTACAAGTGGATCGGGGAGCTGTCGGAGGAGATGAAGAATCTGTGCTAACACAAACTTAATGTATATAACTTTGTGTAAATTATTCATGATTGACCAAATAAAACACTAATTGCTTACCAAGAATTACTTTTCAATGTAAAATACTCCTGTACTAACCACTATGGGGCGTTGGGATATCCCACTGGTTAAAGCGTTCACTCATAGCCCCGAAGACCTGGGTTCGATTCCCCACATGGGTACAATATGCGAAGTCCATTTCTGGTGTCCCCACTGTGATATTGCTGGAATGTTGCTAAAAGCTTACTATGTTTCCTTCATTACCTTCAGTGTTAAGTCACAGTAACTGTGTTTGGAGAGTTGTCCCCTTTATCATGCCAGGATCATGTGTCATGCTGAGCCAGCTGACATAGATCAATGTTCATGCTTTCCATCAAAACAGCTTCAAATGTGTGTAAACGCATGCAATCAGGAGGCGGAAAAGGTTCCATAAAATCAGATGATGAATAGTATGTACGATATTAAGACAAGGAAACCATTTAGGAATATTATTTAGTCATTAGCACACAAACTGTGAACATCAATACCAATCAGTGATGTTCAGCTCAATAATACAACACAAGACAAAAACTGTAATTATGGGGTTTAAACTAATTATGTGAAGAAACATACATGTACCACAGAAAGAAAAAAAAATTACTTGTTGGCCAATCAACTGCCAGGGAATCACTTAACCAAAGAAAGTGTTTCCTGTGTTGCTGCAGGAAAAGCAGACTATCTTTTTACCTCACATCTTAATATATTTTATTATAATTATTACCAATATGCCATCAAATTCCCTCCTGGAGACAACATTACATATTATTGAAGCGGTTCTTTCTGTATCAGGGGCGGTGGGGTAGCCTAGTGGTTAAAGTACCTGCTCGTCGGGTTCTATTCTCCACATGGATACAGTGTGTGAAGCCTATTTCTGGTGACCCTAGCCATGATGTTGCTGGAATGTTGCTAAAAGCGGCCTAAAACCATACTCACTCTTTCTATATAAACACTGACTGTTTTGTTCTTTGTTCAACTTGGACTCGGTCATTTGCTGTCTTAAGTTTCGTGCCTTTGGCATGCCAGACACCTTAGGTCATGGGTTCGAATTCCTATTTATGCTGCTTTCTCGGCACCATCCCCATGCGTGTTGGCTTTAACCAAAGCGGTATACATCTAACGGCTGCTTCACCTGGGTTTTGCCCGCATCAAGCTGCGCCCCGTGATATGACATGATACAGCTGATCTACTGTTCAACGTGGAAACAAACTTCAGTAACTTGAATTTCACATTCAGAACCGAGTTTCTTTGGGATATTAGAACCATACACGAGTAAGTATCACCGAAGTAATATATGTCTACGTTCTGCATAATTCGGTCTTTTCCCTCCCCAACCCAAAGTGTTACTCGTTCGATCACTAACCAGGAACAGTCTGGGGGTTATGTGTTCGTGGACAGTGTTTAGTCAGTCGGCAATATTACAGGTATACGACAGCGGTCTGTAAATAATCGACACAGAAACCGCCAAACCGGTGACTGACATGAGCAGCGATTGGGAAATGATGACCTTTAACAACACCAAGTCAGCCAACCTGACTACATATCCCCGTGCGTCGTTTCGGTGGGTTGCAGAAGTTCCAGAAGACATATGAATGTGTGTTGAGTTCTAGGAGTTAAATTGATTGATTTATGTTTTAGAAAGATATCCTGATATGCACTTCAAATTATTTGGTCTGTTACGCTTCAAAACCTTCGGGGCGGTGGGGTAGCCTAGTGGTTAAAGCGTTCGCTCATCACGCTGAAGACCCGGGTTCGATTCCCCCACATGGGTACAATGTGTGAAGCCAATTTCTTGTGTTCCCCGCCGTGATATTGCTGGAATATTGCTAAAAGAGGCTTAAATCTAAACTCACTCACTCCAAAACGTGCAGGTGAGCTGCAGAACCTTTCTGTTTTATATCTTCCACGATAAAAGAATAAGCTGAAACTAAATTATGCCTCTAATGATCTTTCTGAATGTCAGTTACAGAACCATATTTCAACAGATTTATCTGACCATTAAGACTGATTATTTACAGATTGAATGAATAGTCATTGGCTCACAATCTGAAAAATACCGTTAAAACGTCAGATCATGCGTCAGATGTAAGAAAGCAATACAGACAATTTTAAAACGTTGCCAGTTATAAAAAGCTTGTGCTACACAAATGTCCATGTTTGTTTTACTCTTTAAGTCAACATTTTTCTACATCGCTACACATTTTCCAAATGTTGCTGTCTTGAATATTATCTCCCCTTGTAAATATCGCAGGGATTTTACTAACGTAGCACATATGCGTCGCACGTTCTAATAGTTTGTTGTTAACGCCGTGCTCAGCAACATTCCAGCTATATAGCAGCGATCTGTAAATAATCGTGTCTGGGCCATACAATCCAGTGATCAGCATAATGACTATCGATCTACGCAGTGTAATACCATGACATGTGTCAACCAAGTCAGTGAGCCTGACCACCCGATCCCGTTAGTCGTCTCTTACGACAAGCATGGGTTACTGAAGTCCAAATTCTAACAGGATCGTCATGGGTATTCCTTCTGATAAGATGCTTATAGAGATAGTTGAAATAGTGACCAGTATATATTCTGATCAACTTCTCACATAACTTTTCAAATATCTCTGTTTTTTGTTATCTAGCTGCTCTCGACTTAACTCCAAGTGACAATAGATATATTAAATCTTTGATCGTTTATAATTAATGTGATGATACACTGGTGGACATGAACCAGATGGCACCACCTCATTGCAAAGAGAACCAGTCTTGTGCAAGAACTGACCAAAATGGATTGGGTGTTCAGGCTCTGTTACTTGGTTGAATGAACCCGGATGGAGAGGAACGATATTCATGCATTCGTAACTACTCGTGTCATTCCGGCAAGCTTTTTGAAGGTCACGGAAAGAGGCGAGTAGTTACAAATGAATGTTCATGCTTTCATTCACTAATTTGTCGGGGCAGATCATTTATAGACCACAGTCATGTGACTGGAACAGAGCTTAATGCGGCGTTAAAGAACATTCCCTTTTACTCATTCTTGTAAGAGAAACCAATGAGAATCGGTTGGTCATAATGGCTGACTGTATTTCATTGTCTGCTGGGCCAAACTCGGCGGTACACATGCGACTCTGATACAGATGTGATATCGCTGTTGGAGGCAATATTACCAAAATCTCACGAAATCTGAATTCAATTCCCAGTCTCTTTGTAAGTGTGAGGTTCAATCATTTTTCCTATGAATTATACGTGTACGAAACAGATCTGCACAATGTCTTGCACATATGGCCTTGCATATTGTCAGGTGAGGGAACTAACAGCGCAAGTCTCGGAACTCTCCATTAATCCTTTAATCAACATTCACTGATGGATATGTCTGTGAGTACTGCAGACTAATCACATTACCTTTGCTTTTGTGAATCACCTTAAACGGTGATGTGTTGGTAAGTTTCAAAAATGCTCTCGCCTTTTGTCAGACGCATTGGTTATTAATGTTACGTTAGAAATTAACTCCATGCGTCAGAATGTCTCCGAATTGAGATAGCAACTGCAAATCAAAGGGCGACGTGCAATGCCTGCAACGACTGATGCATCTAACATGCAGGCGGGAGTACCCTCCATGGTGTTTGCAACTAGAAGGGTGAGGTGTGAATTCGCATTGATTCATTGTGGCTGGAATCGGATTACATGCTTGCAGGCCATCAATAAATCATAGCTATGGTCGTCTGCTGGCCCGACCGAGCTCCTAGGCCCCCTCAACTTCACTCGGCCCTGTCATGTTTACAAGTCCTGATCTTCTGAAATCACGAACCTCTCGACCGGGTAATGATAGCTTTCAAGGAACTAACTTGAACACCATGAGATTAAAGCGGGTTAGGTTCCTAGACTGGGATTGATGTGGATCGAGCTAGGACGATTGTAACAAGTTTAAAGTAGATGACAGGTGTGGTGTTCATCTGATTTGAAGGGAAGTTGAATTTGAACTGCAGGAACTCAAAATATAATGCCAACTTTTGAGTAATGGGGGGAAGGTCGGTGAAGACGAAATTATCACGGCTATACCTGATACTGGTCTGCCTCTCAGTTAAAAAATAACAATAAAAAAGCCCAATCTAGAATGATTGGGCATGTCCACATTGCCTCCAAAAGAAATGCACTGTTTGGGGCTCCATTTATATTTTATCATTACTTTTTTAATAGATATTAATCTATAAAAAAGATACTTCTGGGGTGTTATTTTAGCATGTTGTTCCAAACAATCAAACAAAAGTTTGTCCGATGCTTTGAGGTTCCTTTGGGAACCGTCAGTGGTGAGTGAGAGAATTTGTACATGTATAATCTCATATTTAATCTTTTGCAGAGATACGACACCTCCCTGCTTCACATTGTTGAGCAACCAGATATTAGCCCTTTCGGCAAGGTTATGATACCAGGGTTTTATTTCAACCCGAAATTCCCATATCTGTCAGGCAGAGTTTGGGTAAAACTATGATATTCGTCAGTAAAGTTACGTGGGAAGACTGAAAGGTTCTCAGCTTAATAAAATTTCTGACTGACTGCGTTGATGGAGATAATACTTCTTCGACGCGATCGCCTCCAAGATCCAACCATTCTGGAGTGCCTGGCTCCCATTAGTGTAGAAAGCTTTCTCTTCGTGTTGTCAAAAGTCTCCCAAAGCAGAAATGACGTCATCGTCATGTGTTTAATGCTTGAGAGTCTGTGCTTGAAATCTGTAATGGAAATGGGACGGTGAATATGTTGAATACGGAGGATCGTCAAAGAGTCCAAAGCGCCAGTCATCTGTTGCAGCCATGGCGACAACGGCGTGTGGTTGAGGCGTTGGGGTCAACGCCGCTTTAAACATTATTCCAGTAATATCACAGTGAGTCAGCTTCATCTGGGGCAAAGCTTGAAGTGATGCAGGTGATGCATGTGCCACTTTCGTGAAACAACGAGCACGATTATGGTTCTGACAAACCCAGGTCGAACCAACTGTCTTGTATTGACGTGCCCAAGAAAGACGCAACTCTCCCTGACGACAACAGACCAGATTTGTCACCTGGGACATTGTCCTGGTGGAACGACGGACCTTTAGTGTTAAAGAAGGCAATCTAGTACCGCTTCGGAATCCCTCAGAACCGAACTCATCACCGTGCCTCCTGATGGAGCAGACTGGCCTTCTTCAGAGGAGACGTAAAATGTAGGTGAACTCACGACACATCCATATTTACAAATCGTTCAACGGAATCTGAACAACGAGATGTAGTCTCTCAAGTAATCAGAAACGTTGGGGCTCTAATCAGGAAGCTTATTGAAACTGGAAGCCCTGCTGGAACTTTCTCGTCAGTGATGACCACACTGAACGGGAGTGCTATACATACTTCGTACCTGGATCCGTGAAGATCCGGGTTATAATTGGCCTACAGCAACCCATGCTTCTCGTAAGAGGCGAATATCGGGATCGGGTGGTCAGGCTCGCTGACTTGGTTGACCATGTCATCGTATCCCATTTGAACGATGGACGATGCTCTTGCTGTTGATCAGTAGATTGTCTGGTCCAGACTCGATTATTTAAAGACCGCCTTCATATAGCTGAAATATTGGTGAGCATGGCGTTAAGCAACACCCAAACAAAACCAATTCCTTCGTCCCTGGGCTCAGGACGTTTCAGCTGCACCTTTAGTTGTCCTGTAAATACTCTTTTGTCTGGAATCGACGCTCTTGGCTGGAAATTGGAAAGATTAAAATTACGATTACTTACGAAATATATGTTCACCTTACACGATATCATGTCTGCTCTTTGAGTTTGTTACTGTATATTATGGCAGACTTAATTTTGTTAAGGGTGAAGGTCATACAAAACTATATTTTTCCCCGATCCTTGTCTAGGCGTCATCATGTTGATGTCCACACCTTTATAACTTAGTCGGTCTCACATTCCCTGAACCACATTATTTTTCTCTCTGACCAGTGCTTTCTGCAATGTAAAAGCCCTGAATGAATCAAGTCTATATTTCCTCAAGTTATGAATCTGTACATAGAGGCGTGATCCTATAATTGCAACAGTAAGACACTTACCAGTTTCCCTATCAGGCGTTGAGCAGTATAGAATGGTAGATGGGAGACTCTTGGGGGCTGTATTGTAAACAGCGGTCATATCGTTTTGTGTTGTAGTAATAACGATTAACAAACGTAATCCTCATGCCACATACACGGGGGAGGACGGGGGGACTGGGAATGTTTACTGGAAGCTGGAGGAAACCATTTTTGCATTTGAATTAAATGTAAAGTGAAATATTACATTTGGTGGCTAAAAATCGATTCAGTGTTCGCCGATGCCGGGCGCCTGGAACTGTTCATTTCACAGCTCTCGTTGAGCGATAGGTTCTTGTTAAGCGACCAAAATATCAGTCATTCATAAATATACTGAGGGGCAAAAGTAAGTGTACAGTTGGAAAGTGGACATGCGTTACCAAGACATGCGTTACCAAAACGTCAGTCGGCTGTAACATACGTGGAAACACTGCTACCATAAGGTCCAAAACACAACTGATATCCGTATTAAAATAAATCGTCACTATCAAATAACAACCATTTCTTGTATCAAAAAAGCTTGTACTTTGTAATGGTCCGGCAGTTTACACACTCACTCACTCACTCACGAACACACGCACGCACACACACACAGTGGACCAAACAATCGAGTGGTCAACATTATGATTCTAGTCCCCTCCTTAGGACAGAATATATTACTTGGGAGTAATTCTAACAAGACGTCTCCACGGGGCATGTTACCATGGATTACGGGGGATGGTTACAAACATTTGATTCAACGCGCCTTTGCCATTATTTCTGTTACTACTCGACGTAGTTCATTTTGGAGGAGAGCGCAGTGTGACGGTAAGATGGGTTGTATAACGCGTGGTGATGGACAAATCTGGGCAAAACTGCCATTCGATCTGACAATCACCGGATCCTGTCACGTGCAAGGGCCCCAACGCTCAGAGCCATAGTCCAAAGGTTCAACCGCCACATCTTAAGCGTTTAAATTTATATGCCAAGCATACGCCAAAAATTCCTCTGTTTCTCAGACATCTAAGTCTAGAACAAAGATTGGGTTATAAACAAATGATTAAAATATAAAAATGTGATTTTTATTTTTCCCATTGCAATCATAAATTGAGGTAAACACACAGTTTATTCCCCGTGAAATCGACACCGTCGATTGTCCGTGTATATGGAATATTGAATAAGTGTTAAGTAAAACGTGCTCAAAATGCTGTGGTCGTCTTTGATCAATGGCGATCGTGTTGTCCACGTTACTGACCCAGAACGCTGAACATAAATGCGGCTAGTGAGCCAATCGCTGAGGTAGAAATAGTGTGGTTAAAACGCCAGGAATTAATTGAGGCAAGTGTAAGACAAAAAACAGTCGTCATTGAAAATGCTTACGATACGAATCCTAAAACGTCATTTCCGGTTAGCGCCACGACTAAGATTCAAAACACGTTTTGATCACTTATCGTCTAACAAGACATGACGTCATAAAATGCACGAGGTAAAATTGTGAAATATTGCTCATACAAGTGAAAACCAGGAAACAGTACAGAGAAGTGTCACTTCAGACACACACCTGTGCAGAAAGGTTCTATGACCTATTATGTCCGCCTTGAAGTTCCAACTGGAAAGCTTGCAGTAAGAAGTTACCTTTCATTTTACTACAGGCTTTTTTCTTTCTTTTGTGTGTGTGTGTGTGTGTGTGTGTTTGCGTTCCGAATTGTAATAATTTTTAGTTGACATTCCTAATAATTGTCAAAACTGACGAGATATATCTCTTCTTTAGGCGGCATTTTGAAGGGGGTATGATGAAGAAGAACACTTTTTATGGATAGACAGCTCTTTATTGCAGTGGATGTGACGTTTCGGTGTAGACACCCTTATCAAGCTGTCTATCCATAACAAAGTGTTCCTCTTCAAGAAATATCTCCAGTGAATCACAAGTTTCAGTTCACATTTTGGCAAAGCGAGTTTCGTTTTCAGTGACGACGATGTCAGAAGCTTAACCGAAGTTTTGAATGTTTATATTAGAATCATCGTTTGTGGATCTCAGAATATCCAAGAAATGTGCTCAGCAGTGATGTGTAACTTATCCTGAAAATTGATAATCTTTTTATCCATTCACGCAGTAATATCCAGAGTTCATCTCTGCTCTTCGAAGTTCAACTCATTGTTCGACTCCGTTTGCACATCTCCAGGCTGTCCCGTCACCTCGACAAGGACAGCCCTACTTGCGTCCACACCCGCGTTGTCGGGCTCACTGCCCGCCACGGTGGAATACCCTGACGAATTTTCTGACACAAAACACTCATTCGAGTCACTGATGGTCTTTGAAGTCTGTGGATGCATCATGGTGTATTGTCTAGCTGTAATGTGCGTGTCCACAACGCGCTCGAAGTCCCCCTCCTCCTCACACTCCTCAAACACGTGCGCCTCTGCAACTTCCAGCGTTATTGGGCGCGACGTCGAGTGCTGCATCCACGTCATGTCCGTGGCAGCTGAGGAACAACTGGACTCTAAGAAATTCGATGCTTCCAAAGAATCTGATGAGGGCTTTCTCCAGAACCGCCTTCGTTTCTTTCTTCTGGAAAGTAGTTCATTGACTTCAGATGTTGACATGGACTGTGTGTCACTTTTGACTGAACCTACAGTCGAGGTTGATCTTCCCTGCGGAAACTGACTCGGAAGTCCGAGTTCGATTCTGAGTCTTTCCTCCTCGCGGTAAGAACAAGCAGCCGCTACCATTAGCCCTATGATGCCAGCAATCAGAACAATTGGTCCCACGATATGAAATATGTCTTTGTATGCAAAGAAGAATGAATTCTGTCCCAAACTTGAGATTGAACTGCAGAGCAGTGCAGCCGAGCTCGCGAAGATGGCAAGCAAGGAAGGCACGTATACCTTCTTCCAACACTTCAGGCGTTTGTCGCTCTCAAGCCTCTTCAGTTCTCTGCGACGATCGGCACGTCGTCTGGCGTACTCAACGTCCTTGAACACGTCCTTGTCATCTTTGTACAGTTCGAACTCCTGAACGCGACGTGATAACTGCCTCGTGAACTCTCCCGGCATGCTCGACTGAAGGACGGCGGGCGTTCAGACATAGCAGCAGAGGCGGGAAGAACTGGAAGAGAGCAGACGACAATCAGAAACTGACATTTCTAATATGTATAAATTTAGACAAATTATGCAGAAAATCGTTTGGAAAACAATTCAGTTTTCACATCTAGCCCCAAGAGAACAATTGTTTTCAAACCTAGCCTCTAATGATTCCAAATAAAAGAACTCTATGATAGTCTGGACCTAGATTTTCAAAGCTCACCTAGTGTTAGGATGGTCGTAAGCGCCATATATTAATATTAACTTACGACTACCTTAGCTCTAAGAGAGCTTCGAAAATCTAGGCCATGAACTATACCTTCACGTAAAGATCAGTAACTGTCGGATTTTACTGTCCTACACACATAATCGTCTGTAAGAAATATGTGACAATGCACTCATACATCTTATCAGAACACCATCACACCTAGGATTGCACTGCGCTGTTAACTTGATGTTGCAGTGACAAGCTCAAGGCCGGTCACGTCGTCAATGCTGCTGATCAACACGCTGACGGTGTACACTCTACCAGTTATCAAGTCAGGCTGATGTTTCACACGGTCGTGCATAAATGATGTCGAGCTGATGGACGTGAAATGCTGAAGGTGGAACGCGGTCTTCAAACGTCACAATATGATCACAAACCAGATGCGGGAGGAGAGCTGGGCAGTCATGGGTATATTTAATTGTTGGAGTGTAAATTCACTGGAGGAGAAACAGATAAGAGAATTGCCTGACTGGCACCGTATTGGACCCGCAGTACATTGTTTCACCATCATCCTGACAGCTTCACAAAGTAATGACGCGTCCCCGATTGGCCATATGCGTGGATGGTTTCGGTACAGTAGGTCACCTTCAGTGTTAGGATGACGTCGGTTTAACTAGGGGAGAGGAGTTATAATGTACGGATAGCGTTAATCTCTATACCGATGATACTACTGTTTATTTCATGACTAACACCATCGATACTATTACTACACTGCGTCTCCGTTATCACTACTACTACTTCTACTGCTACTACTTCAGCTGCTGCTACTGCTGCTGCTACTACTACTACTTCAGTTGCTGCTACTGCTGCTACTACTACTACTACTTCAGCTGCTGCTACTGCTGCTACTTCTAGTACTTCAGTTGCTGCTACTTCCCTCCTCCTCCTCCTCCTACTACTACTACTACTACGAAGAAGAAGAATAACAACAACCATTGCACTCGTAATATTACCAAACCACGACGACGACTACTACTACTACTACATCAGCTGCTGCTAGTACTACTACTACTTCAGCTGCTGCTGATACTGCAACTAATACTACTGCTACTGCTGCTGCTGCTACTACTACTTCAGCTGCTGCTGATACTGCAACTAATACTACTGCTACTGCTGCTACTACTACTACTACTACTGTGGACAATAACAACAACAACAACAATTGCACTCGTAAAATTACCAAACATCGCTACACATTTGTTTGTCCCGGGTTTCATCATCGAATGCCTCTGTTATACTGTTGTTACTGCTAATAGAGGCATTATAACAACTGTTGTTTCTGCTAATGGAGGCATTATAACAACTGTTGTTTCTGCTAATGGAGGCATTATAACAACTGTTGTTTCTGCTAATGGAGGCATTATAACAACTGTTGTTTCTGCTAATGGAGGCATTATAACAACTGTTGTTTCTGCTAATGGAGGCATTATAACAACTGTTGTTTCTGCTAATGGAGCATTATAACAACTGTTGTTTCTGCTAATGGAGGCATTATAACAACTGTTGTTTCTGCTAATGGAGGCATTATAACAACTGTTGTTTCTGCTAATAGAGGCATTATAACAACTGTTGTTTCTGCTAATGGAGGCATTATAACAACTGTTGTTTCTGCTAATAGAGGCATTATAACAACTGTTGTTTCTGCTAATGGAGGCATTATAACAACTGTTGTTTCTGCTAATGGAGGCATTATAACAACTGTTGTTTCTGCTAATGGAGGCATTATAACAACTGTTGTTTCTGCTAATGGAGGCATTATAACAACTGTTGTTTCTGCTAATGGAGGCATTATAACAACTGTTGTTTCTGCTAATGGAGGCATTACAACAACTGTTGTTTCTGCTAATGGAGGCATTACAACAACTGTTGTTTCTGCTAATAGAGGCATTATAACAACTGTTGTTTCTGCTAATGGAGGCGTTATAACAACTATTGTTTCTGCTAATGGAGGCATTACAATAACTGTTGTTACTGCTAATAGAGGCGTTATAACAACTGTTCTTTGTGCTAATGAGAGCATTACAATAACTGTTGTTTCTGCTAATAGAGGCGTTATAAAAACTGTTGTTTCTGCTAATGGAGGCATTATAACAACTGTTGTTTCTGCTAATGGAGGCATTATAACAACTGTTGTTTCTGCTAATGGAGGCATTACAACAACTGTTGTTTCTGCTAATAGAGGCGTTATAACAACTGTTGTTTCTGCTAATGGAAGCATTACAACAACTGTTGTTTCTGCTAATGTAGGCATTATAACAACTGTTGTTTCTGCTAATGGAGGCATTACAACAACTGTTGTTTCTGCTAATGGAGGCATTACAACAACTGTTGTTTCTCTGCTAATTATAAGGCATTACTGCTAATGGAGGCAACTGTTGTTTCTGCTAATGGAGGCATTATAACAACTGTTGTTTCTGCTAATGGAGGCATTACAACAACTGTTGTTTCTGCTAATGGAGGCATTATAACAACTGTTGTTTCTGCTAATGGAGGCATTACAACAACTGTTGTTTCTGCTAATGGAGGCATTACAACAACTGTTGTTTCTGCTAATGGAGGCATTACAACAACTGTTGTTTCTGCTAATGGAGGCATTACAACAACTGTTGTTTCTGCTAATGGAGGCATTATAACAACTGTTGTTTCTGCTAATAGAGGCATTACAACAACTGTTGTTTCTGCTAATGGAGGCATTACAACAACTGTTGTTTCTGCTAATGGAGGCATTACAACAACTGTTGTTTCTGCTAATGGAGGCATTACAACAACTGTTGTTTCTGCTAATGAAAACATTGCAACAACTGTTGTTTCTGCTAAGGGCAGCATTTTTGTGTGTGTGTGTGTGTGTGTGTGTGTGTGTGTGTGTGTGTGTGTGTGTGTGTGTGTGTGTGTGTGTGTGTGTGTGTGTGTGTGTGTGTGTGTGTGTGTTTCTCATCGCCCGACCGACCCTTCTAGTAGTAAAACCTAAAACAGCTACTATGTCCTTGAAACGACCTCATCTCCTACCCGAAGTCCACGATACCACAACCAAGCATAATGTAACTATTTTAAGTCAGAGATACTGACCGGGTTTAGCACCTATCTTGGCACTATATCAGCTACGTGTGGGAGGAAAGCCCGAAGCAACGCAAGTTTCGGAGGTTTACGACTTAGGAGAACCCCCCAAACATTGTGCTGACTTACAAAGAAACCTTATTCGGGAGACGCGGGGACGGTGAGGTAGCCTAGTGGGTAAAGCGTCCGCTCGTCACGCCGAAGACCCGGGTTCAATTCCCGACATGGGTACAATGTGAAGCCCATTTATGGTGTCCCCATGGATATTGCTGGAATATTGCTAAAGGCGGCGTAAAACCACACTCACTCACTCAGGGAGACGCGGAGATCTAACCCACAATTACAGAGATTCAACTCTGCACAGCGAAATGGTACCGGTGCACTTTAGAGTTCCGAGCCACCCGTTCCCAGTAACAGGATATCACGGACGATGCAACTAGATCTTAACACCTGTAAACTGCTAGTCTGGAGTCGACCGTCTCTTCTTTATGGACGAAGGGTGGTGGGGTAGCCTAATGGTTAAAGCGTTGGCTCGTCACGCCGAAGACCCGGGTTCGAATCCCCACATGGCTACAATGTGTGAAGCCCATTTCTAGTGTCCCCCGCCGTGATGTTGCTGGAATATTGCTAAAAGCGGCGTAAAACCAAACTCAGTCAGTCAGTCAGTCTTTATGGACGATCGAATGGACAAGGCTACCCCGTGTTGGTTACACTCAAAGTTTCAAATATGAAATAAGACCACTAGAATGTATCAATGCGAACGTACGTCATGGGAGAGTTGGTTTTCACGTCGTTGACGTTGCCTCCCGAAGACGGTGAAATCTACAAGCATGAGTGCGGTGAGATGAAATGGGGTTGGAAGTCGCGTGTTGTACTTATATAGCGAAGTTAATGCATGTATGCTGGAGTTCGCGTGTGCGTGTGCGTGTACGTGAGCGTCGCAGTTGAACATGAATACCCCACCCAGACACAGTAAATGCTGGCTGAAAAACTACTGAACAAAACAACTAAAAAACACACAAAAGCACTATCCCCTAAAGTATATAACTGGATGCAAATAATGAATTCAGCAAGACTCAGGTATTCCCAAGAAAGAATTAAGGTATTGTATTGTCGTTTCATTTCAATAATACATACTTTTTCACATCAACAAATGAGTGCGAGGAATTACTCACAGGCAGAGGCTAAGAGAGGTCGGAATTACATCCCTCTGGTATCAACTATATCGCCTGTTTGCTTTTCTGTACAGTGAAAAACATTGTTTATTGATAAACAGACTGAAGTGTCCGTGCATCTCTGTTGAAGTAATCTGGGGTTCATCTGCACTCTGGTCATTAAGATATATATTGCCTTGGCCATATGAATAATATATATACATAGCATCTGAAGTGTGAAATACTGGACCTGGTAGGGTAGTGCCGTGGTCTATGTGTTCGCTTCTTGTGAGGACCGGTTTGATTTCTTTATAGTAATTATACATCACCAGTGTTACAGATATGACTTTATGCAAACTTTATGAAGAAGCGACGTCAAAACAACGATTAATGTTTGAGTTTGTTGTTTATCATCACACACAGTAATTATGAACCAGACAATCCAGTGATTCATTGTGTGCAAGGAACAATCCCGTCGGGATACGATGAATTCAATCACCAAGTCTGACCACCCAATCCACCAAATCGCCTTATGACAAACAGTGGACT